TTTTTAGTTATTGAAAACAGTTATAAAAACATCATAAAAATATGTAATTTTTTTTTTAATTTAAAAAGTTTATTTTTTTATTCTAATAATTAATTTTCATACTTTTATACATTATTTAATAAATTTTATCTGATAACTAAATATATGTTAATGTGTTTCTATCACTCATTTAATAAAATATTACTAACTTTAATTGTAATTATAATAAATATTTATTAATATTTTGTTAGTCATAACTAAAAAATGTTTATTTTTCAATACATTAATCGTTAAAATTTAAAAAAAAATATTTATCAAATGATTTATATTAATAAAGTATTTATCCTTTAACCATAAAAAATAAATAGATTTATTCATTCAATACACAACATATCAATTTTATCATTCAGTATCGTGGGCATTCATGAAATAAAGTACAAATTTATAATTTTTTTTTTATAAATTAGGTATTTTTCTTATAAATACAAACAAAAGTAATATATATTTAAAAGGTTATATAATATTTTTATTTAAAAATAGATGATTAACATTATATTTTTATAAATGTCTATTGTCATACTAATACTAATATATTTTTATAATTGTAAAATGCATTACAATTGCTATAATTATAAAAAAAATATTAAAAAAACATTTTAAAAAAATTGATAATAAATACATAAGTATAATAATAGACACACTTTTTGCATTTTTAATAGTACATAATTCAACTGTATTTATACAATGACAGCATAAGTGTTAGAAATACATTTTTAAATATACCTTATCAATTTATTATTAACTATATTTTATTAAAAATTATAAAATTGAGTACAATCTACTTCATTTTTATAATTGTTAAAAAAATTAATTAATAACAAAAATTACATTTAAATGAACGTGATAAAAATTTGAGTTGTCAATATTTTTCTAAGAGCTTATTTTATCTTTGTATTTATCTTTTTGATGATTTTCTTGCATGTTTAAAAAAAAAAGTATTAAATAAAAAGTATATTTAATAATTTAAAAGTATAAAAGAAGAGTTGAAAAATGAAATTATTTAAGTACATTAATTATATAAATAATGAAACGGTGGTGTTTAAGAATACGGGGTAGTCACGACAGCGACAGCGACAGCGTGATTGGCGTTAGCAATTGGCAATTGGCAATTGGGTTTCATTGTTTGTAGGTAGCATTATCATTATTATTATTATAGTATTGGAAAAACTTTTAGGTTTGGAATACCCAACTTTGGAGTTGCTTTGCCCTTTTGATTTGGAGAATCTCCTAACACCCATGTCAAGAACAACACATCTTATTTTATAAATTACAATTTACAAACACCCTTTTGGAACTCTCCACCAGATAACATTATTATTTTTATTAATCATTCAAAATAATTTAAACACAACTCATTTATAGTATATTGTTTCAATTATTTTCTAAGTCAAAAGTTACATGGTGTCTTCACATGACCTTGGACTAATTTTTACCTCAAGTTTGTGGCTACAACTAATTAGAGAAAACTTCACACACCAAGTGTTTGAATTTTGTCATCTACAGAACCAACTTTAAGAACATTTTCTGGTCTCTTAATTTAGACTAAAAGAATCACATAACTCAATAATTAAAACATGGTGATGGCGTGTGTTTGAGGTGGAAGGAAAGGGATGGTAACCCACCCGTGACAGCATTGCCAAATGGGTCTCATTGTTTCTTTTTGGTTTATGCAGAATGCAGAATGCAGTATGCAGTATGCAGTATGCAGTATGCACTCACAAGTCAACTTTTCTAAACCAAAGCCAAACGACAACCTCAAACAAGGGGCCCTTTGCCTGTTTATTTTACTTTCCATTACATGCTTAAATAATTATAATTTATAAACATATAAATAGTATTAATATTCAATTGTTTTTTTATTATGTTTTATCATATTCATCATTTTATACTTAAATTTACAACATGTTTCAATTTATATTTAAATATTTATAAATATATTTATTTTAATACTATTAATTAGAATTTTTATATTAAATTGTTTTTTAACATGAACCTAATCACTCACTTGATGAAACTTTTATCAAACACAAGTTATCGGAGAGTGAAGTTACTTGATTTCAAATAATAAACTTAAAAAATACACTAGCAATTACCTTTTTCTGAATTTTTTAATTTACTATAAAAGGTAAAAGTTTAAAGAAGCTAAATAAAAAAATAAAATAACGTGATTGTTTTTCAAGTTGGGTCTGTAATTCACAAGTTAGGCATTAAAGTAAGAAATCATCTGAAAAAACAGATGAGTTTGTGGAAAGATTAGATGCTAATTAAGCTAAGATTAATTGAATTTGAAGAGTAATGTTGGATGAAAGAGTGGTAAATAAATAATATCACTTCACTTGTCATTGGAATCACAAACTAATTCATCTCTCTGCCACCTGCTTTAGTGCAGAAGTCACAGTTTGGATGACTTTCCATGATACATAAAGATAGGATTGAAACTTGATAAAATGAAATATTTAATCATTTTTAAAATTTGTTATTAATTTAATTTTTTTATAAATTTGTTATTACTTTATTATATTTTAAATTACATTAATTATAGATATATTTTTTATAATAATATTGTAAAATTATCAAATGTATTATTTTATTAAATTTAACATGTAATATTATTTAATTTTAATATATATGATATATGTGCGTGCGTACACATATACATTAAAATAAAAATAATATTAATTATTATTTTTAATAAATAATATTTTAATGTTTTATAAAAAATGTATTTAATTTTATTAATTTAGCTATTAATTATTATAGTATTACAATAAAGATTATAAGTACAAATTTATAAAAAAATGAAATAATATATTATTTATTAAAATATAATAAAGTGATAAAATATTAATTCCTGTGATTTTAAGTTAAATAATTAGATTAAAAAAATTTATTATTAATAAAATAATATTAAAAAATATTTTACTAAATTTAATATTTAGTGTTATTAATAACTTATCTAGTGGTTATAGTAAAGATAGATAGGATAGGACATGAAAACGTATCATATCTGTTATTAATCAAGTATTTATTAAACTATAAGAATATGATTAATTACACTGGTGTAATTATTATCTTTAAAATATTGTTTGAGTTAAAAGAGAGAAAAAATATAACAATTTTTTTAAAATATTTTTAATTTATTATATTTTCTTTTTTATTTACTTTTTCTTATTTCTCTATTTCTATATGATTTTTAAAATAATATTAAATTAGTTTTATATACTTTTAAAATAAAAAATTATATTAAATTATTATATATTTTTTATAAATTAAAAACAAATAATTTATACAGAATATAAAAATTTATATTTAAATTTAGTAAATATACATAAAAAATAAATTTATTATTTTCTGTATATTTATATCATATCATTATTTCTATTAAATATGCATCAAACACCTAAAATTTAATAATTAATTTAAATTTACTTTTAAAAGATAAAATATATATAAACAAGATATATAAATAAAAAATTAATTAATAATTTATCAATGCTTTTATTTTAACATTTAATATATATTTTTAAATATAAAAATATGAATTATGAAATTATGTATTTGTAAATAATTGATTTATTTAAAATTTGACGGGTATGATTAATATACGTGTATATTGTTAAAATGACAGCTTATTTAATTTGGTCTTTAAACATGCTTTTATTTTGACACAAAACAGCTATAATAAATGTAAGCAAGTTTTCCAGCTTCAAATTTTGTAAGACATAATAAGTACATGTCTGGAACAACAACTAATCTAAGGTCTTATTAAAAAAATTATGATACATGTTAGATTGATGAAAGATCACAGAAGTATGAGTAAAACTTGATTGGATATCATCATAATTGGCATAAAGCAATAATGTAAAATCCATTTGAAAAGTGTCAATACAGTGACTTGGACCCTTTTGCTTTTAGATGCCTATCATGATTTTGATGTAACCTATATTTTGGTTTTTCTTCTCATCTTTCCCCTCCCAATTGTATTTGGTACTGTTAGCAAATTGTGTGTATTCTGATCTCTCTTTTTGCCCTTTTTGGGTCTCTCTCTGGTCTCTCTTCAATGACTCAAAATGAGTCTCTTTAGATTAAAGTAAAAAATATGCTTGTGCAAATCCATCATTTTGAAACTTTTCATGGATTTTTTTTTTCTGAAAAATGTGATGAAGATTAAACGGCCCACGATTTGATGAGTGCATCAAATGTACCAAAACCCACAACACCCACCCCAAATCCCTGCCCCTTTCAAAGAAAAAAACAATAATCGGACCACCAGCCCATTCAAGAGTTTCTTTTTTGGTAGGCCTTCTTCTTCTTTCTATTATTTTATATGTATTTAAGGATATTCAATGCTGAAAAAAAAAGAGATAATAATAAGAGATATTAATAAACAATACATTTTTATTAAAAATAATACTATAAATGTATTAAATTTTGTGCCATCTTATAATTTTCAATATTTTTTCTTGTATCGTTTAGCATATATGAAAAAAATTATATTTATTTAGCAAACTCCCATTTTGTTAAATTATAAGTGTCACCTATGATTTTACAAAATATTTCCTTTAATTTATACGTTTACAAAATAATATTTATTTTACTCCATTTTAATTCAAACAACAATGATAAATTAAAGATTTTATAAAGAAAACTAATGATTGACACATATCTTTGAGGATTAAAATTGGGCCCTACTCTTTTTAAAATTTTAGGATGAACCATTAAACTTGATGTTGATGCTATTTTCTGCTTGAGGTATTCAACGAGGGAACATTTAGTCATGGTATATATAATTCTTTCTGGTCAGTAGCAAAGGAAGTTAACCTTATAAAGATCATCATTCCTTTTGATTTAAACCATACACTCACCAACAAATGGTATGAAAAAATATTCATGGTTAATGTATAGTTATGCCAGCATAGAGTAAGGATAACGCTAGAGAAGGTGATGCCAAATTGTTCAAATCTTGTATCAACATAACTGAATCTCGGCACTGCTTTTCCTTCTCTGTATTATGAGTAACAACAGCTCAGATAAATACATGCAAAGTGTTTTTCATCGTCTTGAAGAACAGCCTAAAAATAGACAAAATAGCATGAAAGACAGTGGAAATATGCAAAGCGTGAAAGAAGAAGAAAATGATATTGAGAATTCAATAGCTGCCTTGTCCATTGCGTATATATATGGCAGGTTCCTAAGCCTTTGCTGCTCCTACTGGAGTCTCAACCTTAGTGCTTATTATCTGCTCATATAGGTCTCTTATCTTCAAACCAACTATGGTTTGGAACAGACCTGTTCCATTGTTGCTACCTGGGAAATCAGCATGCTTCAACATTTGTTGAGTAACTTCTCCATAGAACTTGCTAGAGAGGTTGCTAAGGTGGCTTTCAACATATATTAGTTCATCTAATCTGTCAAATTGCCCATCCATTTCTACAACGGACACCTATTGCACAAAAAGAAAAAGAAAGTGAGCAAAAATAGACACATAAGTTACATGACTGTGTAAAGTAAGAGAAAAACCAATATATGAATACCTCATCATGCAAGAACATCTCAAGTAGGCGTTGAAAAGTTTCTAACTTGAATGAGCACGTTAGACCTTGAAAACTATACTGTTTTCCTTTGTTTTAAACTTTTCCAGAATCAGTGGACTATTGCAATTCTATTAGTAGTATCTATAATGAACCTAGTTCAAACTATAAAGTTAATTAAGAATTTAATTATATGACAGATTTGACCCACTTATAGTATATTAATTATTGAAGTGGCTGATAAATCATTCTCTTACTTTTTATGTCAACTGATAGGGTAGGCTAGTAATTAAATAGCCAACTACACTTTTATAAGTTTTTAATACTGTGAACAAGATACGACTTGTTAAATTTTCTATTTTTTTGGTCTAAATATGGATTAATTAACGCAAATATTATAGTGTAAACAAAAAAGGGAAAAAAGTTTTGGAGGGTAGGCATAAATTAAGAGGTACCTCGCTTCCAAAGTAAGTGTCTGGTCCATAGAAGAATTTGATGCCAGGATAAGAGCATGTAAGCTTCCTTCCGCAGGGTATCCAAGAAATGGTAGAGCCCTCATCAAACAAGTAAACTGGGCTAAAATGCTTAACCCCCTCTTTCTGTATTAATCTCACCCTTAAAATCTTACCTTCATTGTCATCTGGAATGAGTTGGGTTGGCAACACTTCTATTACTGCATCTGCATATTGCTTTTGTGGATCTGTAAAGAAGTTGATTCATACATAACCAGTTAACACTGATACAATTATTGAGCATAAAAAAAATGTTCAACTTGAAAGACTATAATTTGGGATGGGTTTTTATTCATGAGTTGGAATCTTAATTACCAATATAAGCGTCAAAATCAGGCTTTCTTGCTTCAATGCTAGCCTTGATGCTTTCAAGACTATGTCCACGTTCTGCCATGTCTCTCTAAAATATTTGTCAAATAATCGTTAGTTCATAGTAACGGAGAAGAATAGGAAAATTTTCAATTGTACTATGTATGTATTCACCTGAATTTTCCAAGCGAATTTCACCTCATTGCTAATGTCTAGGTAGATGCTAAAGTCCAAGAGTTCTCTAACCCGAGCATCAAACCTGCATGCCAGGGAAAGTCTCAAAATCACATAAGCTCATAGGAAGCAAAGACAATTAAGTGCCACAAGGTATTAGATTTTTCCCCCATTAATAGTTTACCAGTATTTATATTGTTTTGATCAATTTGATTTTCATTTTACTGAATTATGTAAAAATATTAATTAACAAGGTAAGTGGAATATAGATCCGTATCTGGGCACCAGAATTGATTGTAGTTACTAGATCCACTTTGGGTAGAATTAAACCAAAAAAAAAAATTATATCGCACATAATACCATGAATTATGTGCAAGACATTACAAAAGACTAAAAAATTGAGAAATATTTTACAAAAAAGGTTAATGAACTCAACTATATTTGCGGAGTTAGGAGCTAATTAAGAGTGAGTAGGTGACCAACACGTATTTATCATTTCTTTAGACATAAAAAGTTTCTTCCTTAAACTCTACGATTCATTGCAAAATCTAAATATTTTATAAGCCTAACATTTCGGAACTATGAAAATGTCGAAGCCCGGAATATTTCATGTCCCATGAATTGAACTACTAAAATATCTACGTTACTATACAGTAATATTGAACCGTGTATGCATGATGGCCCACCATATATGGAAAGGTTGGATGGAAAGTCGCTAGCAAATTCCTCAGCCATACAATCAAACAAAGATGGATAAGGTATCAGCTTAACGACCCGTGTCACATTTAATTATACTCTTCACAACCCCTTGATTGATAAAAGAAAGTTAGAGAATTTCAAACATCTGTAACATCCCCACCACCTGCTTCTGAAGATTCACTAAGCAATACACTCAACCAATCAAGTTTCAATTTCATACATACTAATAAAAAACAAGAAGAAACATTAGTGATGAAATAATCTTCTTATTTTTCCAACACCGTTCATAGACAATTGAACTTGTTTGAGGTTTCGAGTGAGCTAGAAAGGAGAGAGGGAGAGAGAAAGAAAAGATATACTTACATTGGATGCAAACCTTCAATGACTAAGATTTTAGGAGGTTTAATGAGTTCTGGTGGATCCAAGAGACCAGTGACATGGTTGTAAATGGGTTTTTCAACAGAAATTCCATCCTTAAGAGCTTTAACTTGTTCATACATGAGATCAAAATCGTTCGCTCTTGGATCAAGTGCAGTGACACCCTTCTCTTTTCTACCCGTTCTATCCAATGAATGGTAATCATCTAAGCATATCACTGTGGTGGTGTCACTGATGAGAGTGTTGGAATCAGGGTTGCCACCCTTTGGTGGTTCAGCTGCTCCTCCAAACACACTGGTCAACCTCCTCATGAAAGTACTTTTCCCACAACCTGAGTCAGCAGCTAGACCAATCACCACTGTCTGCGAGTCACCTGCTGCACATGTTATCACATAGGGGCTGCCAGTGTTGCTGCCTCTCTTGCTGTTCCTCCTACTTGTGGTGTAGAAAACTACTTGTTTTTGATGAAAACCCAATTGTGTTTTTGATGGGATTGAGATGGAGCAATTTGTGCTGAGAGACTGTGTTGAGTAGACAGTGCAAGCTGCCATTATTTCCTACTCACGTTCTCTCTCTCTCTCTCTCTCTCTCTCTCTCTCCCCTCTATCCACTTAATAGAATTTCTAGAGAAGAAGAGGTGTTAAGTTGGCTTGTGTTTTGAGGATTATGGAGGGGACATTCCAAGAAGAAGTTTGGAACACATATAAAATATGAGGTGGAATTAAAACCAAACCAAAGGCATTTCAGCAGGAAAAAAAAAGAGAGGAAACTAAGGTGTCTTCTTGTTTATGGGTTTCTGTGACTACCCCTGGTTTTGGACAAATTTGGAGGTAATTTTAATGCAAGAAAATCAGGAGTTTATTGAAATCAATCAGCATGAAAGGGGTATAGTTGTCCTTTTCGTATTTTCTTTTTTATCTCTCTTAAGAAAATATAAAAAGACAAAAGCAACAACAGATATTTCAAGTTATTAAAAAATGGGGAATTGATGAGGTTATGGCATAAGTGATAAAAACCAACATGAAAGGCTGCTTGTGCTGAGTGGTTAGTGCAGCTTGGATATTTGACATGCCACGTGGCAACAAGATGGTGGCTCTTTGAAGATGAGGGATTAGGGGTGTGGAGTGAAGTAGATTTCATTCAAGTGTATACCATCCAATTCAATCTTGGACTCTACCAATGTTTCTTTTGTGTGTGTGTGTGTGTAAATGTCCCATTTTTCCTTTCTTCTTTTAGATCAATACGTAATGCGTATGTGTGAACTATGAACTCTTGCCATAGGAACTTTGAAACCATACTTTGATCAAGGACCACATTTGTTCACTTCAAGAGTTTCAAGACAAGATGTGGAGGTTGGGTTGTGAAGTACAAAAGCATATGCCTCATAACCACAAACTTCATATTTTTATTGGCACTAAGAACCACATGATATAATATTGCTAACAGTGAAGTAGTAATATGGCTAATATTATGTGTGCTTCTCTGATGGTGCAAAAGGGACCTTGTTGCAATGGTCAGTGGCATGAGGTAAGTTAAAAAGAAAAGTAAATGCTATTACCAATCGCTTAATTCATTAAAAAAAAAGTGTAATTAAATATCTTAAAAAATGACCAGATTACTAAAACTCAAATTGAGACTTTATTAGAAAATTTACTGCCATCTTAAATTGTTTATTCAAAATTAATGATTTTTTTTAATATAGTGCTATTTTTCTTATTATGTTAGTCCTTTTATCATTCTAAGTAATCTTTAAGGACATATATTATTGAATATTATAATAAAAAATGTTGAATGTTCATCATGTAAAATATAAAGTTATATTGGTAATACGTTATTAACAAAATGTAAACCTACAATATGTTAAACATGCATAACTGCGAATTGAAAATTTTATTTTTTTAAAAAATATTTTAATGAATAGAAAACTTACAGTAGGAAAAATAGTTTATTCAGAGGAGCGAGAGAATTTTCAAAAGGATATACTTTAGAATGAGTTTCACAAAGGATAAATTATTTTCAAAAGTGAGCGAGCAAATAAAATCTTTAATTAACCGTTATTGCATTTGAGACTTCGGAAAATTGTTTATTATTATATTTTATTGTGAAGACCAAGACAATACACTTCATAAGATTTTATTTCGATAGCCTGATAAATATTATGAAGAGCTTCGTTGATCAATATCGTGAGTTTTTTTTTAATTATTCTAGAAAATTTCAAAGTTAATGTTTAATATAAAAAAATGGTGAAGTCAACTATGCAAAAACTTAGAATATGTAAACAAAAATAATAACGGTGAGATTTTTTTCCCAATAAATTTGGATCAACGTCCTCCATTAATGTTGTAGTAAATTATCCTAATTGAATTACAAATATGTGATTTATTTCTTCTTTAGATCTCCATCACTTATGGCCTTTTTAACATAAATAAATTCATATCGTATTCTCGAAATATATATGCATAGTAAAAAGTAATCTATGATTTATGTCTCAAATCAAAACCAGCGAAACATTAATTGGGATATATATTTAAATTCAATTTTGTTGGATTTATATTTTTCCTGTATCCTAATTATTTTAAAATTAATGAATTCTATATTTGTCTCTTCAATTAACTAAAACATGCAGGTACTATATAAAGCACCTATCTATCTGACCATGGTCAAATAGCTACATGCTACTATGATATATAAGTTTAAATGTGTCCAATAAGTTTGCAGAAGTGTTAACTATTTGGTAATTTATTCTGCAACCATTTATAAGAATTGATTGTTCCATCATAGTTGGAGTATATTATGCATACTCTTCTAATCAGTTCATCTTCAGCATAAGGTTTATGAAGTTGTTTCAGTTCGGCCAGTTAGTTCTGGCAATTTTCCAATCAAACCAAATATACCTTTGACTTTCGAAACTTACATAAGAGATTGTAGTCACTGCATGAACCCGCAAAGCGCACTGCCATGGTCCTTTTACAACATTCCGAAGCCAATTTAGCTTTACCCAAAATAAATATAATTATTTATATTGAACAATTGGGCTATTTGTTTGGTATGTGTATTGGTACCTAACTAAAATTTTAAAGTAAGTGTTCAATTTTAACTTTTGGGTTGTTTAATTAAAATACAAGGTTTAAAATGAGTCAACTTCTAAAAGTAGATTTCAATGTTAAAAACAATTAGGATTTTAACTAGGTGCTCTAAACCAGTTGGCGTTCACTAGGTAAGGAAAAATGCTTTGAGCATATTGCCACATCGCCTATAAAAAGTGAATGTGGAAATTATTATTAAAAAAAGCATCCCAATATATTACGCAAGTTTGGTAGTTTGAGACACTCAAATAGCAGAAGCCAAAAAGTTCATATAATGTATTTACATTTTCCCGTGAAGAATATTATTAAATAGAATCTGAAGAATTGCTGTTTTGGTCAGGTGCCGTTGGGTTAGTAAATCAGCAACTTGCTTGGTTTTGACGACATTCTATTTTGTCAACGTTGCAAAGGTTTTGACTTTTGACTAAATTTGAATGGGGTTATCCCACTAAGCCCTTCGCGTAGGTTTGCGAACACAAACTACCAAACTGCGACTGAAATTCCCAACAACAACAAGATTTGAAGGGAAAACAAAAGGGAAGAGCGAATAGTCTCTCCAAATTTAAAAACATAAGGTTCATATAATATATTCACATTAAACTTACAAAAGATCTACTAATAGGAATTACGAAACCTTTAAAATAAAATATTGTGTTTGTCATGAGGTAAGGATGTCAGTCATTTTTTTGTAGACACACTATGCTTTCCCAGAAGCCACCAAAGTCGGGTCCCGGATTTTGCTGGTGCCTAGGGGCATTCAGCTTTCTTGTTTGGTTGTTTTTTTTTTTTTTTTAATGTACAATATTCACGTTTTATTTCAACCATGGTTTGTTACACTTGAATTCCATTTATAAGCAAAGGAAATGAGCATAAAATGGGTGTGATGATCGAAATTTAGGAGACACAAGTAAAGGAAATTTCACAGCAAATTCAATCACATGAATATTCATCCTTAATATAATGTGAAAAACTTAAACAATTTTTTTAGTAGTTAAACATTTCTTAAATAGTAACACGGATAAAGATGTAGAGGGAGCAAGTGGAAGCTCTTCATTTCAACCCATCCCCTAAGAAATAAATAAATAAATAACCAAATAATTCAATGTCCAACAAAGGACACTGAAGCAAAAAAAATAAAATCATCACCATGAATACGATCGAGGCTTTCAACTCCTTGGCTGATCGGCTAGAACGCGAGGGCCATGCGTCTAAACAATATTCCTAGTTGCAAGCCCATCTTCACACGTATTCTTATCTGAGAGTATGGGCGAACTTGAACGTCCAAACTCTACTAATGTAAAAGATTCTATGGACGAATGTTAACAGTCACCCTTACTAATTTTGTCTATTTTATTATACAAGATATTTTAGAGTCTATCTGTTTCATGAAATTCATTTTAAAAGAATTGAGATTAAATTAATTAATTTATGCTTGAAAATGATATTTCAAATGAGATGATATACTCAAAAAATTTGATTATCTAATTGTATTATGTGTGTGAAAATTCATCAATAAACATTTTTTTATTGAATGTAAATTATCTAATAGAATATTTAATTCAAATTTTTTATGAAATAAATCAACTGTAAAATTTCATATAAAAATATAATTAAAAATTACTTCATTATATTACTTTATTTTAATAGATAAAATATTTTTAAAATATATAAATATCATTTTAAATAATATACTTATAAATATTTAAGTTATATAAAATTTAATATATATATATATATATATATATATATATATGTGTGTGTGTATGTATAACTTCAAAAATATTTAAAAGAATCACAAATAATATTTATAAAAATGAACTAATTTTACGCAAAGCATACATGCTATAAAACTAATTTCGGTAATGAATAACTAAATTTAAACAAACTATATTTACACCATAAAGGAACTTTGAAATCAATAAAAAGATTTAAACTCAGCTCAACTTTGGATGCTCCAGTACATCATTTCCTCCGTTACCCATAGTTTCACTTCGGAAGCGGTAACTCAATTGAAAGATTAGGATAGTTCCTAATTCCTACATTAACCATTTTTATCGGAATCAACAATAAATTTTGGCGGGCCATTAGTTTTTTTGAGGGACATATCACAACTGCAATACCACTACACTAGCACTTCACTGGAAATACACTAGTAGATACTAAATTTCACAGGATTCATTACACAGTACACACTAAACCCTGGTACAATTACTACAAAGAACACGATCAATATCACACAAGATATTTATGGGAAAAATAAGATAGACAAAAGAAAGAATATACTAAGCCACCGGGAAGTGACTGACATTGTAAAAGCCGTTGGATCAAAATCCTGAGAACAGTCTCACTTATGCCCCCGGAAATACATGTATATTTTCTGCAGACAGAGAAGAAATGGAAACAATCATCAAGCAATAGTGTTAAACACGCATTCTAAAATATTATATGGGCAATTTAGGCTGTTGAAGTAATAAAATGCACAAAAAAGTTACTGTTTACTATCCTGACGCGATACTAGCAAAAAGATCTTGAGTTAATTCTTAGAATAGTTTCTAGTTATAGACAGAGATCATAATTGAAGAAACAAGAATCTGAACACTTAAATTACCCTCCCCAAATGTTTCAAAACAGGTTGAACCCTTGTACTGTTCTGACTCTAAACTGTTTGCTTCAGGTTCAACCCCCCCCCCCTCCCTCCTCCTCCTCCTCCCCCCCTGTAGAACTCAAAATGAGTGCTTAAGCCTTAAATTCTTATATTAGCATATCACGATAATCAAATTATACATTTATTCTCTCTTGGTCCCATTTGATGTCTCTTCTACAAGACACACAGTTAAAAGTGTTGAAATTTCAGTTCAGTCTTAGACTCAAACATGTTCACATATAAACAAAGAGCTTTCTGTATTTTTTTAGCTTTCCCCTTTTCTTTTTTCTTCCTGGATGATTGAAACTATGAAGATCAATAAACTATTTTACTGCTCATGACTTTACAAACCAAAAACTAATTTGGGATGAAAAAGTAAAAAAAAAAGAAAAAAAAGAATTTTTTTCAGAACATATCGAGCAAAAATTTGAACAAGTACTAAAATTGGTATTGTTAATATTCCTTTTATCAACATATGTATGCACACACACACTCCCAACAAGCTGAACAAGGTATTTCAAGTTCACTTGTCTAAAGCACCTTCATGTTGTTTGTTGTTTCTATTGGAGCACACTATATATCACATCGCATGAACAGAAACAAAGGATGCCAAAAATAGTTCATCTTCATAGTAATAAGAATTCAAGTCAATGAAAATGTCCCTCACCTGAAGCACCCATAAGCTTAGAAGAGCCTCCAAGCAAAACAAGCCAAATCCAACCAAATAGAATATCTGCAAGAATACAAAAAAATTGATTGGATCCAAACATGCAAGCAGAGACAAAAGGTTATGTAACTTGATTTTTCCTACATTATAAATTCAAAATAACAAATGTTGGGAAATTTTCATTTTTCCAGCCTCTTCAGCAAGTAGAATGTGATCAATCAATGTTAATCTCCACCTATACTCTGATAATTCAGGGCATCCAGATTACTTTCATATTTCCATTAACGTCCAATTCCCACAAATTTTACATCACTTCATCTAAATTAAAGGTCCTCACAATTAGTTCCTTGATTATCATATTTTTTGGTTTGCTCAGACAAAGTCACCCAAAATCAACAGTCAGCTGTCTCCAACTCCCCATGACACTTGTTGCCATTGATTCATACCTAGGATCATAATTCTATAGGAGGAAGGGGCAATCAACTTAAGAAGACCAATAGCTATCATGCCTATTTACCTTTAAATTATTATTATTACTATTTAATTTATTAATTCCAGATTTATTAATTCCAGCGTTAAAAAAATTCTCATATGTCAAATTACAATATTCAAGAGTAATACATGAATAGAAATGGTCCTAAATATCCTGTGCAGTATGTTTGATCAACAAAAAACTGAATACCATAATAGTTACAACCCTACAAAATAAAATTTTCATGGTTCAGAATTATTAAATGATGATATTCTAAAACATGAAACAATTTCACCGAGAAAGAAAGTAAATGCTAATATATGTACAAAGAATACAACTTACCCCAACCAATACGTGATCTGAGAAGACATCAATTGCTGCAAGGATGCCCCTGCAATTTAAAATGAATTAGTTCAAATGTAACTAAAAAGCAATAAGTACTTATTTAATACATTTACAATATATACAATTAAGCAAAAGGACAAGATAAGATATCAGTATGAAATGGCATCTGACTATTACTGAGAAACAAGTTTTCGTATAAACCTCCAAAATACTTGCAAGGATCCTATCATTTTCTTACATTCATGAGCTTATTATAAAATCATTTTTTCAAACAAGCTGATAAGAGATAACTTTTGGGTTCAAAACATCAAATTATAATAATTTCCCCGCATCATACAAAGAAAAAAGCCTACTAAGAGTACAAACCAGCACAGCCTCCTTTGGGTCATTTGACTTTTATAGTATACTTACTATACTAAAAAATTACACCCCATTCCAACAGAGTTTAAAAACCTCATGGAACTTGAATAAATTATGTAATACAATTTGCAGAGCTTACGTCAATGATTTCCCGTGGAAAACAATTGGAGGAGCAATCGCAGCAAAGATGCAAAACGCAATATGAAGCTGCATCAAGCCAAGGCAATTAATAGAAGATTTAATAAGACACTCAGCAGTAGTAAGCCAAAATAATGTAACAGATTAACATACCAAATAGAACATGAAAAACCAACCAAACTTCAGTGCACTATCCGTCCTGCACATCAGAAACAATCATAAACAATAGCTATCATCCTCCCCAATCAGGTTATTAGGGTAAATTATAATGTCTCCCCTGCCTGTAACTAAAAGGGACCCATACTAGACCTAAACCAATAAACAGTTTGTGCTTAAGTCATGTTGAAATGCCTGTACAGATAAGAAGGAAACAATGTAGTTTACCTCATAGCACGATACAGGGGTCTGTACCAAAGAACATATGAAAGGGGAACACCAAGTAGAGCATAAATAACCGCAAGGAAAAAAATTTTAACACCTGCACATTGTAAGCTTCAAACTAAGGCCCAAATCACATCATTAACTAGAGAGTTGGGAACATCCCAAGTGTAGAAGAATTAGCTCACCGCCGCCTCTGACCCAACAGACAATCACAGCAACTACATTAAAAACTAGGCAGAGAACAATTCCTGCAAACATGTCCAAACATTAATGGAAGAAAAATAATTAGACACAGCCATAAGTGCATAATAGAACAGAAGACACAAAAAAGGAAAAAAAGTAGTTGGTTGTGTGTGTCCTTGTATATGTATCAAGTTAAAGAAGGATGTGATTTAGATACTCTATGAGACAAATTTCCACAAGAAAAAATATTTTAACATATTTAATAAAGAAGATATGTAGAAAGTAGAAACTTAATCACAGAAACCTACATTCAGGACTATCATAAACAGGAACCTCCAAGATAACAAATAACTATATATAAGAGAATATTGAAATATTGCCTATGATGAAAAAGATAACAAAAAAACAATAAAAATGGTTTGGACACATGCAAAAGTAGATAAATTAGTGAAAGCACTAGTGAGGAAAATGGATAGCATGACTTTTAGTCTAGTGGAAAGCAGTAGAGAGAGATCCCAAAAAAATTTTGCAAAAAATTATTAAAAGAAATCTTATAATAAACAATATTTTGAATGGTTTAGTTTCTTTTATAGAACTTAATGATGTTGCGTAATGTGTATTCTATGTAACCGACTTCATCTAATTGAATAAGTCTTGATTGTGTTGTTGTCTAAAAGTATAGGAAAGAACTAATTTATTATTTATTTACCATTGCATTCACTTTCGAAATGATGCAATGGAAAGTTTCCTCCAGACCATTAAAATTATCCAAACAATAAGGTAATTTTATTTCATTCTATCCCCATCCCATTTAGTGCTGTCCATCATCACATATACAAACATAGCTTAAAGAATGAATAATGATTATGAAAAAAAAAACACTTCTATTATGCCCTTCACCTTGGCAAAACTACGTGCAGTTACTAACTAAACCAAGAAGATAATAAACTACTTTTCTCGACAACAATCCAGTAATCAACCAATCAAATAATGTATAAATAAATAACATTGTTAAGCTACGGTACCTAACCAACTTGCAAATGCCAAATATTGCAGCCTCTGAGCATGAACTGGTATTTCATTTGCAATATCATGGTGAATGATTGGGAAAAATGGAGGCCAATTCTTATCATCAACAGGCACACCAGCTGATAAGCATATTTATTTTTGAAACAAGAAAAAAATGTCATTATTGACTCGGCATAAATTGGAGACCCAAATAAAAAAACACTTAATAGAAAGGCCAACATGGTGGGGTCTCATCTTTCACCTTGAGCAACAGCCTCTTCTCTTCTTTTTATTTCCTACAGATGCATTTTGAAAGAGTTGCAAAATCCACAAAAGCAAAGTATATCAGTTGATTAACAGTGGTAGAAGCAAGATCTTATACATGCAGGCAGTTATGAGAATATAAGCACATCACTAATTGATAATGACAATAAAAGCAACAAAAAAGAATGTTAGAAACCAAAATCTGAGGAAATCAATTGTAAAACCAACCTTCTCTCTCCTTTTTAAATCTGCTTCCCAAACTGCTAGCTCTTGACCTTTTTTCTTAGAGTCCTACATAAAAATAATGGAGAATAAATTCAGTCACTAAGAAGAATCTTATAGTCTTAAGAAAGTCCCCAAATTAGTAATGACATTACATTTGTAGTATCCAAAGGAATATCAACTGTAGCATCATGTCTTTGACCAAAGCCCAGTGGCTCAGAGGCTAATGGTGGAATGCGTGATTTTGATGCAGGAGCTGCAGTGCCATTCTGTAAGAATAAATAGAATGACAACCCCAAGTCATACTTGTGACTTAAATGAAACTATAGAGCATCAAATGCCAGGCTTACAAAACTAGCATTTTGCACAGAGATGAAAATTATCATGGCCATATTATTATAAAAGGTGCATTCTATAATTAGGCATTGAAGTTAGTTCATCAGAACTACAAAGTTTCAACTAGTTAAATATCTTATACACTTATACATGCAGCTTAATTAAGAACTCAAAGCTCAAATTGATCAACTGGTTGCATTCTCCTGTAAATGATAAAATTACATTTAGGCAATGTTGCAACCGAAAGCAAACTCACATAAACAGCACTCTGCCAGCAAACTCATGAAATGCAGAACTACCAAACCTGTCAAGCAATCATGCTTTTGAGCATTATCTTTTTTAATATACAGATATTCAATGAAGATGTCATAAAAAATTTCACATTGCAGTTATTGGGAATATGAACAGAATGTCTACAAGCCCATGGTATTATTTGCTTAGATGATACATTGGTCAGTGGGATTTCGCAGAAGTTATGTTCAACACGGCAACAGAGCCATTGATATATCCTACTTCACTACAATTCACCATTTGCCTTCATCAAACCTATCACTTCTTTTAGACTCTGCTCATCCACACCAAATTAACTTAAGCTGCTCAGCTGCATATACACAATTGAGCGAACAACAGAAAACGATATTGCATCAATCATTAAAACAAAAAACCACACTTCTTTGGCTAATTCCAATTACGGAGGTCCTAAATATTGAGCCATAACAAGGAATCAATAACACCGTACAGCAGCTAAGCATCGAATAACTATTTCATTCATCGCACATTTTCCAATACACGAGCTCACTTTTCATTAAGTAACTCGGAAAACTTCATAACCGAAGTCGCAGGTCTACACATTTTCCAGATCCAAGCCCTCCACACACCTTCAAACTAAATTCCTCGCTGATTTATCATTACAGTACCGATTCAGCACACACTTTTCTCAAATAATTTCATCCGGAACCAGACAAGAAAACGAAACGAAAGCATAACGACGCAAATTAACAGCAGATCCATATCAAATGACGAGCCATCTAAGCTGTTCCATTTTTATACTCTGCCGAGGTGGAGCCCCGAATTTAGGGAGTTTGAGGCGAAAACAATATTAGATCTGAAAGAGAACAGCCAAATATAGATATGGAAAGAGAGTGAGGAAGATTTAGATTACCGAGAAGGGATTGACTTCTTCTTCGTCGAATGGATTGGGATCGTGGTGGCGATTCATGGTGAGAACTTAGATCCGCAGAAAATGTGCGAAAGAAGTGCCAAAAACACCGAACCTGAAAGATTAGGGTGCGTGAGAGAGTGAGACAGTGCTAGTGCGTGCGGTAAGTGACCGCACTTATCTGCCTTTTCTATGTGGCTTCCTTCGCTTGTTTGCAACGCGGGATATGGATTTAGAATTAGGAGAACAAGCAACTGAAATTGAATTTCTATTTTTTGCCCTTTCTTTGCTTGAGATTTACGATGCGTGCCATTTGAGTCGGTTTTGTGCTGCTTTCAGTGCGGTGGCGAAAGTGGAAACTTCAAAGAGTTCACGTGATTGTCGCGTGTTGTTTTGTCACGTGGCGAATGTTGGTTGGGCTAAATATGAGAATATGTGGAGCATGTATCACTGGATTAGAGCTCGTACATGAAGCGGTGACTTCTTAACAGCATTAACACTTTCTTTTATTATTTTTTGAATAATTTGGCGCAACCGACTTCGGAAGCGACAGGTAAATCATAACCCCAGTTTGTCTAGATTAAAAAGGACGAAAGAACGATTAAGAATTTTGAATTTTAAATTTTGAAATGACCAAAAAAAAAATAAAGTGTGTACGAATGAAAAATAATAATAAGTAATATTTTTAAAATTATATTCATTAATTTTATTTAATATTAAATCTAATTATATATTATAAGCTTTAATAAAAATGTAGCATATATATACTTATTGTGTGTTATTAAAAATTATTTACTGATTTTTTTGTTTTTTTAATAATATTTTTCAAATTTTAAATATCTTAAAAGATATTTAATTTAAAAATAATTTTTATTTAATTAATGTCATCTTTCCCGTGCTGTTTTTTGTATGCATAAATGCTCGTTCTTTCATGCATAAAATATTGTTCACTATTTTGTGCATAATTATCTAATGTTTCATGCAAAAATGAAATAAATTAAATAAAGATGACAAAAGATCCTCCTTCTAATGAAAAACTAAATAGAAATATAATGATTGAGGAATAAAATGTTTAATTTGCATACTTTGAAGCCCTTAAAGATCAAAATATGGGATTACTGTGAAAGAAAGAAAAAATATGCACCAGTCACATACTCACATGATACAATTAATTGACATTTAACAAGAGAATAATAAAAAATTAATTTACACACTTCAAATTCTTGCAAATTAACATGCACACCTTTTAAAATAAAGAGCTAAGACATGTATGGTTAATTTATATTCTTTTATAACTTAATCTTTAAAATAATTTTGCTTTGTTTTTTTTCACGCATTTGTTAAGTTTGTAAGTCAAATTACTATTTTAATTAAGAGAAATTTTATAAATACACTCTTTTTAATATATATTTTTAATGTTAATTGAACTTTATTAAAAACTACAAAAATTATATGAGTTTTAAAGTTAATTTTTAATAAATTTTAACTAATAAGTTAACAAAAATATATTGTCAGTATTTTTCTTTATTACATCGTTGCATGTTTAACTTAATATTTAAACACCTAAAAAAGTTTATGTTGTGACTTGAGTGTTGAATTGCGGCAAGACTAACTCTGAATAAATTGTATTGTAATTTATCTTGAAATGTGCATCAACTGCCTAATAGAATATAACGACGAATACATGTTATGACTCGATTTGTTGGGTGGTTCTTTTTCCTTTTGCAATACTATAAAACACGAGTTATCAATTAATGGTATTCCTACATCGAATAATTATTATCTATCTCACTAACAAATCAAACCTTTTTACTTATTGACTAATGTATCAAGAAAATTTTCCATTTTTGACTACTTGTTCGTTGCATTTGAAATTTTCACTTTTTTTTTTTAATTTCTTAAGTAACTAATAATTATTTCAAGTTATTTAATTACTCACTTATAAATTTTATGGAATTTGAATACGCATATCAGATGAAACACGCAATCATCCATAAATTATGCTAATTATGTTGTATTTCGCACATTTATTACACAGTGAATTACATGTGGTTTACTCGAGCAACACTTTACCTTGCCATCTATGCTTATTTTGCTTTTAATATTTTTCACTTTTTTTTATTTTAAAAAATTTACGGTGGGTCCACCTCACTCTACACATATCATGATTCACGACTATCAAAGCATGTTCGCCCCATCTTTGCCCGTCCATTGTTAACTAAAACATCTAGTTAGAAGCTCTTGTAATGTCTAAAATTGACAATATGTATTTCCATTCGTCCTAATAAATAGGATCTAATAACACAATAATTCGTCTGTTATTTACTTCACGACACAGTATACAATTCATCAAGAAACATCTAAATTACAATTATATACGCATCTTCGTACTTAGCAAGACTAAAACTTCAATTGAAAAGACTAGCAAAGTAATTAAAAATAACAAAGCATCTAATATAATCCCATATATGAGTATGTTAAACTTCTAGCGATGCATAATCACAAATATCATATGAGAAAAAAGTTGAACTATACATAGAAAATCTTCTATAACCTGTATATATATTGTAGGAAGGATAAAGAAAAGGATGGTTAAGCAGCATACTAGCTGTCCACCTGTGGTCAGGATCCTTCACAAAACACTTGCTCAAGAAATCTTTACAATCTTCACTCAGTCCATTGGGTATCATTGGTGCTTCTTTTAGGAATGCAAGTTTGAACATTATGTCTTCTTTACTTTGAAGGTTCTTCCAAGCACGTAACCCAGTGATCATCTCAATTACTATACACCCAAGAGACCATATATCTAATGATGTTTCAATTCGTCCCATAACTGATTCTGGTGACATGTAAAAGGGAGTTCCTCTGAACTTAATCTTCCAAAAATCAGCATCAATTGTCTCTTGTCGAGTCTTGGATAATCCAAAATCCGCAATCTTTAATTGATACCTTGCACCATCCTCGGAGGAAGGAAAGAGAAGAATGTTATCCGGTTTAAGATCACAATGAACAACTCCTCTTTCATGAATGCAAGAAAGCCCTTTGAGAAGCATGCAAGTGTAGATTCTTACTTCATTTTCCATAAGTGGCTTCTTCCTTATTAAATCTCCAAGAGAACCATAAGGAGAAAATTCCATAAAAAGATCGTAGGTGAGATGACCCTTTTGCACTGTGAATTGGCCAAAATAACATTGAACGATTTCTTTGCAACCAATGAATAACTCCATTATTTTTTTTTCTTTTTGCAGTACGAATGAACCAAATGCGTTAGATGTTGAACTCTTCATAGCTGCGACCTTCGAATTCCATTTTTGGGGAGCACTAATAACAACAAGGTAAACAACGGCATAAGAACCCTTTCCCAATATTCTTACCTTCTCACATTCTGCCATGTTTTCTTTCCCTTGTAACTCTTTAGTTGCGTTGAAAGTAAAATAAATTTGTGTGTAAGGTTTATTTATATACTATTTCGTAATCGAAGCTTAATGTATCGCTTCTGATATTCTAACGTGCCTAAATCTTCGGATACACTTTTGCAAGAAATTTGATGCTGTGTTTATTAAATGTGTATATCTTGTGAGACTTTCATGCAATTAAAGATTTTCTTTGATGTTTCAAAGATACTTTAGTTTCGATTTATAGTCTTTCTTTCAATCTTGAATCAATTATATTGATTTGTTATACTCGGCAATCAAGTTTGTTACTTGCTGTCAATGGTAATTTTAGATTCTTCATTTAATGCTACTATAATAGTAATTAACTAACACCCAAAAAATATATCATTTCAGACGTAAAAAAAAATTGAACAAAAAAAATTGTAACTAAATCGTGTGACACTTGCATTGAATTAATGAGTTTAAAAAGATTTCTTTTGATGTCTGAAAAACATTTTAGTTTTGCCATACAGTCCTTTCAACCTTGAATCCATTACATTGATGTGTTATGCGGGCAATATAGTTTGTTATTTTCTGTCAATATTTATTTGGTATTTTTAGATTCTTTATTTAATTCTAGTTTTAATTGTAATAAAATTACACAAAAATAAATAACAATTTCCGGTGTACCCAAAAAATAAATTACCAAAAAAAAAAAAGTGACAAGGTTGTTCTTATTATTGCATATTAGACCTACACGATTATTTTAGACAACATGAATTTAATCAAGTTATTATTTTTTTGTTGAACTAGTCAAGTCATCGCTCTAGTAACAAGTGGAGCAACAAAATAGCTAGATAAAAAATGCAAGTTTCAACCTTATATATATATATATGTTAGGATCTATTGACACCAGTATAATATAACGATTGACAAGGATGTTAAATTCCAAGTTAGTTGACACTACCATGGATCCTAATATCAAACTCTTGCCAAATCAGGGGAGCCTCTTCTAGATCCTGAAAGTTACAAACGATTAGTAGAGAAGTTAAACTACCTCGCTATTACATGTCCAAATATCTCGTTCATAATAAGTGTAGTAAGTCAAATTCTCAACTCTCTATGTAAGGAACATTGGGACACAGTTACTCGCATTGTTGTATGAAGCCAAAGGACACACTTGAAGTTGTGTGGTATTTTGATGCAAATTGGGCAAGATCTCCCATAGATAAAAGGTTCATCTCTGAATTATGTATATTTGTCGAAGATAACCTTGTCTCTTGAAAAAGTAAGAAGCAAAATATTGTAAACTGATCTAGTGCGAAAGCAGAGTATCAAGTTATGACTATAACGAGTCAGAAGCTTATATGACTCAAACAGTTGCTTCAAGAGCTAAAGTTTGGAGAAGTTACACATATGTCACTTATATGTGATAACCAGGCCACCATGCACGTTGCCTCAAATCCAGTATTCTATGAGAGGATAAAGCACATTGAAATTGATTGCCACTTTATTAGAGAGAAAGTCATGTTTGGAGAAATATCTATTAGTTTTGTCAATTCCCATTATCAACTAGTAGATATATTTACTAAGTTACTAGGGAGTATAATAGCATACCAATATTAAAGAAAGTGTATACGAGGCAATATAAGAATAAGGTAAGAGACTAGAACGAAACGAACAAAGGTAGTTAGGATCAGTAATTAATAGAATAAGGGATATAAAAGGAAGAAGAGAGACAATAGGAAACATGTTAGTTTTAGGAATTGCATTAAGAGAGCATTCGGAGACTCTAGGAGTATGTTGTACACATTGTACTATTTCTATCTTGGGGTCACATTGACCAAAGGAGTTCTTGTAAACAATACATATATTTTTCTCTTACTATACTAGACCAGTTTTAACAGGGTCCTCGGATTAACTACATATGTAACTAGGGATGGTAATGGGTAAAGTACCCAATGAACATCCGCAAAATTTATCCATAATGAGTAAGATATTTATCCGCTATATGAGTACGAGTATGGGTGTGGGTAAAAACCCGCAAATTTTAATGGGGATGGGTGCGGGTATGGGTATCTAAGTACCCACCTCGCCCCATACCTGCATATATATATATATATGCTTGAATTTTATTCTACAATTATATATTGAATTTTTGTATTATTATATTACTTATATGAAGTTATATAAGATTAATATAAAAATATATTTAATAATAAAGTAAACCAAAAAATTTATTTTGGTTTATATTTTTAATAGAAAAATTTATTTACTATTTTATATCATTTAATTAGGCTAATACAATTTAATTATTACATAATTAATATGAGATTGACTTTTTAAAAAATATTATTTATATATGACACACATAAAATATTTTTCACACAAATATTTTTGTTAATAAAATCATATTGATGTTTAAATCATAAAATGAATGATAAATAATAAATATATTGTAAATATTTTATAAATTTTACAATCACCCACTATTACTGTAAACTTATTATTTATTAATAATATTTAAATTTTATTTTTTATATTTTAATTTAAAATAATAATTTTCTAAGCAACATATATATTACAAGCACAACTATAATCTATTGAATCTAAATAATATTATTCTTACTATTTATTCACGTTCAAAGAAGTTTTTGAAAAGATATAAATATAAAAATTATTGTTAGTTTTTATTTGTTAATTTTTTTCAGATAAAAAAGTATAATTTTTTTAATATACACATATATTTCTTTATTATAAAATTTTATTGTGACTATTTATCTTTTATTCAAATTATTTCTTTTAAAATTTATATACATTATAAATATTTAATTCATTAAAATAATTTTTCAAAAATTTGTATCTTTGATAAAATACTTTCGTATAGTATATGAGTTAAAAATACTAGTATTAATATATATATATATATATTAATTATATTATATTATTTTAATTAAATTTATTATTTTTCTTACAATTTTAAATTAAAAAGTTAAAAAAATATTTTATGTATCCAATTTCTGTTGTTAATATTGAACTTTTCTACTCTAACTCTATTTTCATTCTCAATGTCTGTCTCATTAAAAACTAACAACTATGAAACGTTATTCATTAAAGTTAATTGTCAATGCCGTCACAAGAGGTTACCAAGTAATTCCACGCGAATGAACAACTATTGTACATATCTATTTCGTTGTCGCTCTGACATTGCCAATAGATCAAATCTCACACAAGATAGGGTTATTACTGACAAATAACTTGTGTGTTTAATTTCGCTTATTGTTTTTAAGAATTTTAGTTTAGAAAATTATTATATTAAGATACATTTAACATTTATGACCTTTGAATATTTATTTTTTATTTATGTTTGTACCTTGTTCAGCAACTATATATTGAATTTTTGTATTATTATGCTACTTATGTGAAGTTATATAAACATATTTTTCTCAAACAAACGCGGGTAATGGGTACAAGATGGGTATGCAGGTACCCAGAGGGTACGTGTACGAGAATTAATGTTCATACCTACGCGGGTATAGGGCCAGATACAAGTATTTTTTTTAAATGCGGGTATGGAGATGGGTAGTATAGTACCCTATCCATTGTTATCCCTATATGTAACAAGCTTGATGCATATGATTTATATGCTCTAACTTGAAGGGGAGTGTTAGAATCTATTAGAATATTGTAAATATAATAATTGTATATTTTATACTTATGTACTATTTCCTATAAAATTGAATAGCTCTGTTGTGTTCAATACATATGGATTTATTCTAATGTCTTAATATTTTCTCTTTCAATAATTTCATTTATTCATTTACATGTATGTTTCTTTACTTTCTCATTTAAAAAATATGTGAATAAATTAAGGCTTAAAAAAGGTTTTTGTCTTTAAAAAATTTGCAATTTTTTTTTTCCTTTTATATGGTCCTACATTTAGACACTTTACTTTTTTCCAGTATCTATCTATGTAACAGCAAACTTAACTCATAATATGGCAGGGTTGATGTAGCATCTACAGTTTCATTTGCTATATATTTCCAAATCTCCATTTCAAAAGTTTTGACTTTATGAGCTAAAATTCCACTCAATTATACGAAAAATATGATGTTATTAATGACATATCTCATTCATGATATCTTCAATCAAATTAATTGAGTCAACTCTAATGTTATGTAAACAAAGATTAAAATAAATTAGCAAATTATTAATAGAAAGACCTAATGAAAATGAAAGATATATTTTGATGAAAGATTGGAAAAAGGTATAAAGGACGGACCAAATAAAAAATTTTGAATTTTGGAAGACCAAAACTTTATTTAAGCTATAAATTAAGTACTCTTTTGAAACCTTTGGTCAAAACATGAAGATTTAAAGCTTTCTTATCCTTTTCAATTATAGGGATGTAGCAAAGGTACTTCAGTTTGGGGAAAAAATAAAATTAATGATATGCATTTCAAAATATTATCGGCATAAAAATTAGGTCATTGTAATTTCAGGAGTTGAAAGTAAGCAGAAGTGCTATTCTTGTGCTGGCATTCCTGGCATCATCCGGACAACAGGGCTTTGAAATTCTTGTTGGTCATAGGCTCTCTAGTAGCGGGGTAAACTATCTTATGTTGATTTTGCAATTACTGGTATCAGAGATGGACCTTGAAGCTGGAGCAAATGAGGAGCTGCCAGAAATTTTCAGGGAGAGGTAATTATATTTGAGTGTCTGACTGAATACAATCATGAAAAGTCCATTTCTCTTATAAATAAATTTTCATCATTTTTAGATAATGAAAAATATTTGTAACACTGTGCTATACAACCGTTTTCTAGGGGATACTTCTATTTTTGTTTTTGAATGAATAAACATAATCCATGTCTGTGTTTCTTACATTAATGCTGATTTTGATGCTGAGATATTGATGAAGCCATCCAGTTTGAATTTATTTTGTTTCCAATTTCACGTGTGCAATGTGATTGAAGTCTGTGATTTTCTCTGACTCGTGCTGAGAAATTTGTTGTCAGGACATTTCTGATACGGGAGATACTGATATTACTTAACAGACTAGTGTCTAGTCCTTCATATTCTGCCACCGTCTTGCGGAGTCTAACGAACACTAGGGATATGGCTGGGTTGACAATTGATGTTGCAAGCAGATTATCTCGGAAAGGAAAGAAAAATGAGGAGCAAGACAATATGGCAAAACATATAAGAGAAATCGAAATCGTTGACCTTGCTCTCCTATTCAAGAAAAGGGTATTCACATATTTAGGTGATGGCTTATCATGAAAGCGTCCTCTTTGTTAAAAGGGTATTCACATTTATGCATGCATGCACGTATGCATGTATCATTCTACTCAGGTTGGAGGAACTGATACTGAAATGGTGCCGAGTAGATAGGCAGCAAAGGCACGCTAATCTTTTATGACGAGTTTTAGCAATCGTGCCTGGGAATATTTTGGTTGGCTCGAGAAATATATCTTTTATTCAAAATTTTGTGTAATTGTGCGGCAAAATGGTGTGGTGCTTGAGAATATGATCATTGAGCAATTTGAGTTCTGAGAAAATGATGTCCCATTTTTCCAAAATGCAATTCTCCCTTTGCTTTTATTGGCTCTTGTCTCAATCTATCTCTGTCTCTTGGTTCGTTTCCTTTTTTGAATTGATAGGGAAGCTGGACATTAGGAGTGTAAATGGATTGAATGAAGTCGAATATTTAACGTTATGCTTGGATTGTGATAAAGATAAACAATTTAAACTCGACTCATTTATTAAAAGCTTAAAATTGGTCTATTTAACGATCTTTCTATTTTATGCATCAATTGCGTTAGGTTAAATGGTAGATAATAGAAAGTTAATGTTAGAAAGAAGGGATTTGTTCTATTGAAAACATAAAAAAAATGTTTACAAAATTAGTTTTTTTTTAAAAATAAAAATTAGATTGCACGTTTAACCTTGAAAAGAAAAAAAATAAGTTTATGTCCCATTTAGTACATTAAAATAGATATTGAAAAGATTATTTTAAAACTTTTTAATTAGTAAAATAAACAAGTATAATTAACATTTAATAAGATAGTGTCAAATCAGCGCTGAAAAATTAAAGATTAAGTTTAGATTAAATTTTTTATATATTTTTATCGTTACGTTTCTAATTAAATGGTGACGTGCTGTCTTTTAGAAAAAACAGCAGCGTATATTTCTCAATTGAATGTTATTCAATTTTACAAAGAATATTTACATACTAATTACATGTAAGGATCCAAATTTTGTTGTTTAGTTTATTTACATATTAGACAAACTAAGTATTTGATTTTTCGTTAACATGATAAACTAATTACTTCCTGATTAACGTATGAGATGTTCTTTTTAAAGAAAGGGAAAAGAAAAATGTTAACAACAATTTGAATACCTTTCCTTTTCTTTCTTCGTTTTTAGCAAATGACGACAGTGCCTAACATAGTTCCCCTAAATCCTAACGCCACATTTTACGATACACATCCTTAACTGCAAATTGCCAAATTGTTCAAAATCTCCAGGTTTGGATCCGAAGCTTCCCTCACCAATCAATTTTGTGCAAGTCTTTCACTTTCGATTGAGAATCTTGGTGCAACTGCAATTTGTAGATCTCAAACAATCACACAGAGAACGTAGTTTACTAATTGAACTCCTTGCTTTTGAATTTTGTAATTTGTTTTGCATTCGATTTTATGCAGGAATTAATTTCTAATATATAGTCATCTCTACTCTTTGCTGAACCAATGTCATGGAAACAAACGGTTTTGAAGTGTCTGCTATATGAATTAAGTGTTCATTGAGGTAATTTTGTTCAACTTCTCCATTGCTTGTCCTTTCTAATTTGTTTGTTTTTTCCCCATTCACTGCTAATTGTTGTTATATCAATTTCACTTGCGTCGAAGATAGGATATATCTTATAGTAAGTATCACTGGTAACATATTATTTCTATAATCATGAAAAAGATAGAGAAAGAATGGGATTTAGATATGAGATGCAGGAAGAATCATCTACAACGAGTCTATTGAACAACGATTATTATTGATTACACTATTTAGAGAGCTGGCTTCTATACAGGGAATGAGTCTGCTCATTTTTTCAACCACAATGAAGGTAGTTAACAGATTGCTACACCTTACACAAATTGCGACGATCATGACTGTGCCAGATTGGGGAGAACAATCTTTGAGACTGTCTAGTGCATAAACATCCCAACCACCATCTCTCCAGTAAGTAGTATATATTTTTTAAAATAATTATTTTTAATTATATTATACCTCTGTTTCAAAGATTTTTTTACTATTAATTTTTTTAAAAAAAGTTATAAGATATATTATAATAATTAGTAAATATTATTATTTTTATTAAAATTTTCTATTTTGATTTAATTTTATTTTTGATTTATACTATTAGAGTAATTATAAAAAAAAATTCTATTGTGTTAAGCCTAATTAGAAAGCATATAATATAAAATATAATTTAATATTTAGTTTAAATTATGTGTTATTTTTTATTTAAATTATTTTATTATATTTTTAATTTGAAGTTTTTTTTGTCATTAAATTTTTTTTATAAAAATACTAACTATTATTTCATAATTTTTTGAATAATTATTTTTAATTTTATTGTATTTCTATTTCAAAAGTTTTATTATTATTAAAAATTTTGATATATTATAATAATTAATAAATATTATTATTTTTGTTTAAAATATTCTATTTTAATTTTATTTTATTTTATTTTTAATTTTTGATTATAGAGTATAGAATAATTGGAAGAGAGTATTTTTTTCGTATTAAGCTTGATGAAAAAAAATATATTAAATAGAATTTAATATTTAATTTAAATTATTTATTATTTTTATTTAAATTATTTTATTATATTTTCAATTCAAATTTTTTTTATTATCGGAACATTTTTAAAAAAAAATTAATTATTAATTCATAAATATTTTAGATAATTATTTTAAAAATATTCACTGAAAATTTGACCATGTTTTAATCAAGATGAAAAGAAAAATTTTTATTACAAAATTTTTAAAGTTTTTATTAATTAATAATTAAAAAATTAATGTAATTAAGCAAATTTATTTATTTATTATTAAAAAAATTAAAATTAAAAGATATTATAAAATTTATTATTTTTATTATTTTAAAAAACTCTTAAAAAATTTCCTTTTTATGACATGTATAAAGGTAGATTAGGTTTAGTAGATAGATTAAAATTAAATTTTAAAAGGTTAGTCTTCCAAATTAATTTTGAGTGTGTGTAATTATGTTTTAAACACAAAAATCATTTTAAACAAAAAATCAGTCCAATGCTGAACTTCGAAGAGTCTAAGGTCAAAACCCTAAAAATTATAAATCTTCGTGCGAGCAACACTTGCAGTTTTTGGTACTGGTTCGTGCTGCTTCACGTGTTGTTCGCTTCCCGGCACGTTTGCACTGTACCACTTTCCATCTCCAAACATGGGTCGGAAACACGACGTCGTTTTGCTCAGCGAACCAGTCGCCGAAGAAGCCCCCAACAGCCCCGAACTCGAATCAGAGAAGAAGAAGAAGAAAAAGAAGAAGAACAAAGACAAGCATCAAAACGAAACAAGCCCCAAACGAAAGCTCGACCAACTCGACCTTCAAAACGGCACCGAATTGAAGAAGAAGAAAAAGAAGAAGCACCACGAGTCGAAGGAGAGCGCCGAGGAAACCAACGGCAACAACAACACTAACGGCACTAACCATGACGAAACGGTGACGGATGGTTCCGTGGTGGTTACTGGTAAGAATGTCGGCAACGCGAAATATGCGGCGGTGAAAACATTTGCGGATTCGGGGCTACCGGAGAACGTGCTGGAGTGCTGCAAGGGTTTCGAGAAGCCTTCGCCGATTCAGTCCCGAGCGTGGCCTTTCTTGTTGGACGGTCGTGATTTGATTGGAATCGCAGCCACTGGCTCAGGTGTGTTGCAATGTGTGTGCATGCGTGTTGTGTGTTCCATGAACTTGATTCTGATTTTGGTGATTTTGAAATCAGGGAAGACGTTGGCTTTCGGCATACCGGCAATTATGCATGTTCTGAGAAAGCGTAAGAGTAAAGGTTCCAAGGGTCGGAATCCTCTTTGCCTCGTGCTCTCTCCCACCAGAGAGCTTGCACAACAAGTATGTATATTTGTTAATGCGCGGGGTGTGGTTAAATTGAATTTGAATTTACGTTTCACTATTTTTATACTTGTCATGTGCATTTTGCTCTTGTCTGGTGCAAATTAAGAATAGCATCCTATGTGACTTTAGTTGATTTTAATCCTTGACCTTTCTAATTATTTGGAAATTTTATTTTTGAAACACCTAGCCTTTGTTTGGGGAAAAAAAAGACGAGGCACGAATGAAAACTGTGAATGAATCAAGACATTGTATGCATAATATTATGAGGCTGGCAAATTGCTAGTTGTTCTTTTCTTCATATTTTTGTTTTCCAAACAAATGCTTTCATTTAGTGCGCTTCTTAGAAGTGGAGTTTGTTAGGTGAAAAATGGAGAAGGAAAAGTGGAAATTGATAATGGTAGGGTATTCGTGCAATAGGTATAAGTCTGATATATTCACCTTTTTTATACCTGAAGTTTGGTGTAATTGAGAGCTATCCATTGCTGATAAAAGGTCAGAGTATTTTAAGATATCTATCTCAATTTTCTGGGTAAAAAGGGTTTACTTGGGTTTCTAAAATTCAAATGAAAGGTCTGTAAATAATGTAGTTGCTAGCTATCAATGTATTTAAGATGTGTACTCGAACAAGAGAAACCACAAATCAATTCATCATTTATGTGCTTCCAGCTGCTATTGTTCAATTAAATTGTATGAGAAGTCAAGTTTTTGTGCCTTGTGACATTATTTCCAGGGACTTTATCTTACATTTCCAGTTTCCACGGGTGTCAGATGGTATTGCTGATTTACTGAATGATAATAGCTTATAGTTATCTTTAATTATGTTACAGATATCAGATGTCATGTGTGATGCTGGTAGTTCTTGTGGTGTGGAATCGATCTGTTTGTATGGTGGAACCTCCAAAGGGCCACAAATCTCCTCACTAAAATCTGGTGTTGTAAGTTATCAAGTTCTCCTTTCCTTTGGATGGTTTGTATTCAGATGGCAGTTGAAGCCACATGCTTGTTCACTTCCGTATTGATGGAGCTTTTTTTATCACTTTTTATATAAACATCACTTGGATATTTTAATCTCACTTTTTTGATCCAGGATATTGTCATTGGAACCCCTGGTCGTATCCAGGATCTGATTGAAATGGGTGTCTGCTGCCTTAAAGATGTATCTTTTGTGGTAAGCTGTAAATTTTCTGGCAGAATTCTGTTGTTTAGTCCTCTCTTCTTTTTTCGTTCATTCTTCTTTAATGAAAACAAGTTGTTATTCCATCATTCTTTATATTTTTAAATTGAATGTGAAGTAGATGCTTTTTATAAGTAACATATGCTGAGCCTTTTGCACATATTTTCGTTTATTTGTCCTAGGTACTTGATGAAGCAGATCGGATGCTTGACATGGGTTTTGAACAAGTAGTTCGCTCTATACTGGGTCAGACATGTTCTGGTATGAGACATTTTGATAAACTGTCGCCTTTATTTCTTGCCATTAACTTATTCTTATCTAGTTTTTTCTGCTTGCCGTAAATTTGTTGTAGTCAAACTACTTTGAACCTTCTGTTCAGATTCTCCAATGAGCTTACATAGATGTATTTTGTTAACTCAATTTTTTCCCAGCTTATTTTTATTTCACTAAAGATTATATAATTGTCTGCAGTTCGTCAAATGGTTATGTTTAGTGCTACATGGCCTTTACCAGTTCATCACTTGGCACAGGAGTTTATGGACCCCAATCCTGTAAAAGTCTGTATCATTGTTTCCAAAAGATTTCAAACTGTTCTTTTTATGAGTAGTGGGATTGGAGGAAGAAATATTTAAATTCGTGACAGGTTGTTGTAGGTTCAGAAGATTTAGCTGCCAATCATGATGTCATGCAGATAGTTGAGGTGCGAATTTATCAAATCCACATTTCATATATACAGTATTTAGGCTTTCCATTAGCATCACTTAATTCCTTTTACATTCATAGGTCTTGGATGACCGTTCACGTGATAAACGCCTGGTTGCTTTGCTGGAAAAGTACCACAAATCTCAAAGGTAGCTCTTCCTCTGAATTCCTTCTTCAATTTAATTGCATTTTTTTCTGAGTGATCAGTTGCCTCTTAGAACTGGAGATGTCTTCCCAGTCATCTCCTTTTTGTTTTTGTCAATTACCAACTGTCAACTGTAAATTATATAGATCTTTTTGGTCTAGGTCTTTTCATCTCAATTAAATGATAAAGTTGGGTATGAAGTTAAAGATCATAGTTCAAAATTTAGCTTGCTGTTTGTGGATTTCAGGGGGTGGGATGTGGAGTATGACTTTCCTATAGGATATGAAAAAAGAAATAGGAGTGTAAATTTCCATGACTCTAGCTGAATTTTCTGTACATGAGAAAAAATGTCAGTTTCCAATGGATGTTTTGATATTTATTGATGATTTGTTAACTGTTTAGATCTGCCACATGTTGCTAAGATCTTGTACATTTTTGCAGGAATCGAGTATTGGTTTTTGTTTTATACAAATGGGAAACCACACGAGTTGAAAATATGCTTCAAGAAGGGTACATAGTTACTGCACACTATTTTTTTTAATAATATACCTGGTGAAAATATCTGGTCCTGGCTCTAAAAGATCTAGCTGATATAGTTTTACTTGTAATTGCTACTCTGGATATGTTAAATATCGTGTTCAGGGGTTGGAAGGTTGTGTCAATACATGGGGACAAAGCCCAGCATGATCGCACAAAGGCACTGTCATTATTCAAGAAGGGGAGCTGTCCTTTGATGGTAAGCTGTTTTTCATTGTTATAATTAATTATTAATCATACAAGTTTGTTGGCCCAAAAGTTATAAAAAGCTTTATTTGGAGAATGTTCATTTGCTTCTCATCATTTTGTAATTATCTTTTTGCATTACGTTCTCTCTACTTGCTATCTCTTGACAATGAGATTCATACATATACTTTTTTGTATTCTTTCTCCCTTTCAAAGTCCTAGTTTTACCAAACTAACTGGTGGATGAATCTAAAAATCCACTTTATAATTCCCCTTGGTCCCAACCAAAAATGTATAGATTAGAAAAGAAATTATTAGGACAATCTATACCTTATCATTGTTAAGGCTACCACGATCCCTTGAATGTTCTCTGCTCTTTTTGTTGCTTTCTTCAGTCAGTTATTTGACTTCACAATTTAATGGCCAGATTGCTACTGATGTGGCTGCCCGGGGATTGGACATTCCAGATGTTGAAGTAGTGATCAACTACAGTTTTCCTCTGACCACAGAAGATTATGTTCATAGAATTGGGCGGACTGGACGAGCTGGTAAGAAAGGTGTTGCCCATACATTCTTCACGCAGCAGAATAAGGTATTATTAAATATTAATTCTCTTTTTATATTCTAGGTTCTTATTAGGCCCTCTGCATGTATTTATCATATAGTTGGTGCTTTGTCTTTATGCCCTGGTATCAACTGACGAGTGGAGATATTTCAGGGGCTTGCTGGGGAGCTGGTGAATGTTTTAAGAGAAGCAGGGCAAATTGTGCCAGATGCCCTCTTGAAGTTTGGCACGCATGTAAAGAAAAAGGTCTATTTTCTTCTCCATTTTGTCTATGCACCAACTTAGTTATTTTTTCTGTGATGAAGCTAGGATAATCGTTTCTTTGTTTGGAAATTCTTTTAACTTCTACAAAACTTTTTTTTTTTGTGTTTACTTCTGCAAAACATTTGATTGATTCTTAAATATGATTTTTCCAATATATTTATAGGAGTCCAAGCTTTATGGGGCTCATTTCAAGGAAATTCCTGTTGATGCTCCAAAGTCTCAAAAAATTACATTTGACAACTCTGATGATGAAGACTAAATGCTGGTGACTTATGTTTATTTTTGGTCGGAGGAATATGTGAATTCGGTCATTTTAACTCCTTAGTTTAGTTATTTATTCCCTTAAAAGATAATAAGGAATTATTATAAGTAGATTAGTGAGTCTTATCTTGTTGTAGCACTTACTAATATGTGCTGGCAAGCATTTGTTCTTTTCTTCACCTTATGAGATGATAATTTTTAATTCACACATGTATTTTTGCCATCTGGGATTGTCTTTTAATTTTCAAAGTTTGACATTTTATATTTTTAATTAATTGATTAATATATTTCTTTACTATTTTTCTTTGGTTGTCCCCTTGATTTTATTCCCCTGACTACATATTCTTTTTGTAACAAAAAATATGCTTGTTATACCGATTTATGTGGATTGTAATGTGAATACGTCAGTTCCATTGAGAATTAATACATACATACTTATGAAAGGATACTTGACTATGTTACACAGGTAACGAGGATTGAGTACGGTGTATGATATTATGGTGATTTTTTTATAAATAAGATAAGAGGTATGCAAAATTTAACAAGTAATGTACAACTTTTTTTAAAATTATTTATATTTTATTAATTTATTATTTGGTGATTTCTTTCACTTTTCACATAACTAATATTCATGTTAGTTTGTCATCATCACTGTACTACTATTAGTATTTAATCTTTCACAAAATATATTAAAAAGCGTGTATGCACTATCATATTAGTTATGATATTAATCCCATTATTATTTAAAGAAAATGTAGATTTAAAAGTAAGGTGGTAGTCATATATACACAATCATCAGGGTACAATATGAGTATGCTGTTAATCAAGAAGTATCTGTGCATCATAGATATTTGAACATCAGCACCAGTTTGAAATGTTTATTCCAGTTTGCTCACTACTAATTTTATGGCAATCCTGAGTTGATACCGACAACCGTGTCATGCAGATTATGTGAGGAGGGATCAGTTTTATTGTTTGTTTTCTTGTTTTTGAAAAATGTTTATAAATTATTCTTTAAAATCATTCTAAAAGGAGGGATCAATTTATACTGCCAACGTTCTTTTTAAATATAATGACCTTGGTTTGATTTAAAGAAGGATCGTGACCGATGGAAGTTCCTGCCCATGGCCATGGATTTGATTTTCGATTCGCAATGGCCACCATTGATGGACGTACCCGTAACCGTCCTTGGATTTGTTTTTCATTCTCTTGTAATTAAAAAATAAAAATAAAAGCTAATTCAAAAGCATATATAAAAATCTGAATTTACCAAATTATTATTTGTTTTTTGGGTACACCTGAAATTATTATTTGTTTTTGGTGTAATTTGATTACAATTAAAACTAGAATTAAATAAAGAATCTAAAAATACCAAATAAACATTGACAGAAAATAACAGACTATATTGCCAGCATAACACATCAATATAATGGATTCAAGGTTGAAAGGACTGTATGGCAAAACTAAAATGTTTTTCAAACATCAAAAGAAATCTTTTTAAACTCATTAATTCAATGCAAGTGTCACACGATTTAGTTACAATTTTTTTTGTTCAATTTTTTTTTACGTCTGAAATGATATATTTTTTGGGTGTTAGTTAATTACTATTATAGTAGCATTAAATGAAGAATCTAAAATTACCATTGACAGCAAGTAACAAACTTGATTGCCGAGTATAACAAATCAATATAATTGATTCAAGATTGAAAGAAAGACTATAAATCGAAACTAAAGTATCTTTGAAACATCAAAGAAAATCTTTAATTGCATGAAAGTCTCACAAGATATACACATTTAATAAACACAGCATCAAATTTCTTGCAAAAGTGTATCCGAAGATTTAGGCACGTTAGAATATCAGAAGCGATACATTAAGCTTCGATTACGAAATAGTATATAAATAAACCTTACACACAAATTTATTTTACTTTCAACGCAACTAAAGAGTTACAAGGGAAAGAAAACATGGCAGAATGTGAGAAGGTAAGAATATTGGGAAAGGGTTCTTATGCCGTTGTTTACCTTGTTGTTATTAGTGCTCCCCAAAAATGGAATTCGAAGGTCGCAGCTATGAAGAGTTCAACATCTAACGCATTTGGTTCATTCGTACTGCAAAAAGAAAAAAAAATAATGGAGTTATTCATTGGTTGCAAAGAAATCGTTCAATGTTATTTTGGCCAATTCACAGTGCAAAAGGGTCATCTCACCTACGATCTTTTTATGGAATTTTCTCCTTATGGTTCTCTTGGAGATTTAATAAGGAAGAAGCCACTTATGGAAAATGAAGTAAGAATCTACACTTGCATGCTTCTCAAAGGGCTTTCTTGCATTCATGAAAGAGGAGTTGTTCATTGTGATCTTAAACCGGATAACATTCTTCTCTTTCCTTCCTCCGAGGATGGTGCAAGGTATCAATTAAAGATTGCGGATTTTGGATTATCCAAGACTCGACAAGAGACAATTGATGCTGATTTTTGGAAGATTAAGTTCAGAGGAACTCCCTTTTACATGTCACCAGAATCAGTTATGGGACGAATTGAAACATCATTAGATATATGGTCTCTTGGGTGTATAGTAATTGAGATGATCACTGGGTTACGTGCTTGGAAGAACCTTCAAAGTAAAGAAGACATAATGTTCAAACTTGCATTCCTAAAAGAAGCACCAATGATACCCAATGGACTGAGTGAAGATTGTAAAGATTTCTTGAGCAAGTGTTTTGTGAAGGATCCTGACCACAGGTGGACAGCTAGTATGCTGCTTAACCATCCTTTTCTTTATCCTTCCTACAATATATATACAGGTTATAGAAGATTTTCTATGTATAGTTCAACTTTTTTCTCATATGATATTTGTGATTATGCATCGCTAGAAGTTTAACATACTCATATATGGGATTATATTAGATGCTTTGTTATTTTTAATTACTTTGCTAGTCTTTTCAATTGAAGTTTTAGTCTTGCTAAGTACGAAGATGCGTATATAATTGTAATTTAGATGTTTCTTGATGAATTGTATACTGTGTCATGAAGTAAATAACAGACGAATTATTGTGTTATTAGATCCTATTTATTAGGACGAATGGAAATACATTGTGTCAATTTTAGATATTACAAGAGCTTCTAATTAGATGTTTTAATTTATTTCTTGAATCTTTTTCACTATTAATACTCTTTCTTTTAACTTTTGTACAATTGAAGTTCAATCTCTGGTTTTGCGATGAAAGTGAGTGTAAAATGTAAGAAAAATAACTTTAGTGAGATTAAATTTTAATACAAACACTTAACGTTAAAATTTTTGCGCATAACAGTGTTCTTTTTAAACGGTTGACGTATGTATTTCTTTTTGTGAAAAACGATTGGGTTAATAATAGATTTTGACGTAACGCCACTAATATCCTTTGCTCAGAATTCGTACAATTTATATCCACTGGGTTTGAGTGAAGGTCTAATAATTTAGACACATCGTTAATAATTTCGTATTTTCTAAGATGAAAAAAAAAGTGTAAAGTAAGAAATCAAAAAAAAAAATTTCATCATTAATTTAAAATTAATTATATTTATAAAATACTTAATTTTAAATCAAAATAAATAAATCTTTACTTTCTCATGTTACATGTCTATTTACTTTTCATATAACATGAAATTAATTAATCTAACCGTTTATTTGTTAAAATTTTAGTTAAATAATCAATTTTTGTTTAAGTGAGTTTATTTTTTGTTCATTCTCTTCCTAATTTATATATATATATATATATATATATATATATATATATATATTTATTTATTTATTTATTTATTTTTATTTTTTTTATTGTGCCATAAAAACTAACAATCTTGTTTATTAAGTTGGGTTAAATTCTAGGTTTGTATTTTTTTAAAAAAATTGAAAATGGGTAAGTTAAAAACAGTTTTTTCTTTTTAAAAGTAAAAATAATATTTTTTAGTTAATATAACTTTTATTTTTATTTAAAGATTTTTTAATTGTTTTAAAATATAATTTTTAAAAATTAAAAAAACTAAGAGTATGTTTGTTTCCAAACTCAGAATTCGAAATCTAGTCACATGCTTGAGTACTGCTAGCTCTTATTGGAAACACTATTTGTAAATGTTTCTAAGTCCCTAAAATTTTGAGATTTTTTTTTCAGACTAAATTGTATTTTTTTTTTCACAACTTTTGGTATTTGCTCGACATTGTACGATTTTAATTCCTATATTTTTTTATTAAACAAATTTCATCCTTTCCTTAAGATATCATCCAACTCTTAACAACAATATCCTCATGTACATGCCAACCACCTTGCATTCCAATCTTAAAGTCCTACAGAGACAATGCCTATGTTATTAGATTCTTAAAAGGATTGAACAAGGAATATTCAACAGTAAGGTCTCACATCATGCTTATGGATCCCCTGCTCACGATTAACAAAGTTTTTCTTTGTTGGTTGGTTAAGTATATTTTTTATTTTTAAAAAGAGAAAATTCTTTTTTAAAATGAAAATAAAGATGCTCTTAGTCTTAAATTTAGACGTCAATTGGAGGAGGGGAATTGAGAATTGAAGGAGAGAATGTGGGAAATTTCCAAACTCAGAATTCGACCTCTAGTCATGAAGCTCGTGTCTTGCTAGCTCTCACCTGGTAAGACTTCTAGTAACAGTTTTAAATCCTTAAAATTGAGATTTATTTTTCTAAAAATGAAATTGAGCGAGTAAAAAGCATGACCCATAAAATGTAGCCTGTGATCAAATTAGTCCAACTTAGACTCGAAAATCTCTTGACCCAGAATGGATGAATCAGAATGTTTCAACAGGCTAAAATAATAAAAACATATTCTTTGCTTTATTATTATTTTTTATAAGTTCCTTAAATTAAAACTAGATATATTGTCATTTTTCAAAAAAAAAGAATCAAATTCACTCTTGGTGTTTTTCTTTTGCAGCAACACCATACGTCAATTTGTCGAGTAACATCTACGAAAGATTTAGAGGTCAAACAAACGACGCCATACGCGTACCATTGAACTAGTCTCCAGAATTTTGTTATAATTGAGATCGTAATTTTTTCTTTAGCTGATATTATGAATATTTTGACTTATCAATATCAGAAAAGTTTGCTAGACGTCTTTGTCGATTGTTCCCAGAAAGCACAATGAAGAAAAATGCAACCAATAGACTCTTACAATGAATCATCTTTAAGTTAGCATCGATGAGGACATGGTTTGAAGTTGGCAGTTTGTGACGCGGAAAAAAAAGACATTAAGTTCAATTAAATAAAATAAAATAGTAGCAGTTGACCACTTCCTTTGTGGCGCTTATGAGAGTAGATTCAGAGAATATTACTCGTACACGTAACAATGAACATGGCCATATAAGCACAACAATAAAGCCAGAAAGGAATTCAGAAATCTCATCGTCACAAAATTTCTTGCAACCCTTCCCAACAGAAAACAAATCCAAAAGCATCTAAGTAAAGGGCATTGAGAGTATGGCAGATAGTTCAGTATCATTTTTACTGGACAAGCTTACTTCCTTGCTTCAAGAAGAAGTGAATCTACAGATAGGGGTTCGTGAAGATGTTCAGTACATCAAAGATGAACTTGAACGCCACAAGGCCATCTTAAGGGTGGCTGATTCTCTGGAAGACAAAGACCCTGAACTCAAAGCATGGGTTAAAAGAGTAAGAGATATCGCTCACGACATGGAAGATTCTATAGATGAATTCAATCTTCACCTTGTTGATCCACATGGGCAAGGCAACAATTCATTTCATAAGATTGCTTTTGGCATTAAGACCGTGAAAGCCCGGCATAGAATTGCTTCAGACATACAAAGTATCAAATCCAAAGTGGAAATTATCTCCCAGGGACGTCCTAGCATAACTGGAATAGGCTCAAGCTCGAGTCAATGGCTATCATCAAGACTTGACAGCCAAGGAGATGCACTTCTGCTAGAAGAAGCTGATTTAGTGGGTATTGAGAAGCCCAAAAAGCAACTTGGTGATTTGCTTTGCAATGATGAACCAGGTAGGGCTGTGATTCCCATTTGTGGAATGGGAGGGTTAGGGAAAACTACATTGGCAAAACAAGTCTACGATGACCCAAAAGTGAAGAAGCGTTTCAGGATTCATGCTTGGGTTAATGTTTCTCAATCTTTCAAATTAGAAGAGCTCCTGAAAGACTTGGTTCAACAGCTCCATAATGTCATTGGCAAACCAGCTCCGGAAGCAGTTGGAGAAATGAACAGTGACAGGCTTAAAGAGGTGATTAAGAACTTGCTTCAGAGCAGCAGGTACCTCATAGTGCTGGATGATGTATGGCATGTCAAGGTATGGGATTCTGTCAAACTTGCATTGCCTAATAACGACCGTGGCAGCAGAGTCATGCTTACCACACGGAAGAAAGATATAGCTTTGTATTCCTGTGCCCAATTGGGTAAGGACTTCAACCTTGAATTCTTACCCGAGAGAGAAGCTTGGTCTCTTTTTTGTAGGAAAACGTTTCAGGGTAACTCATGCCCTCCTCATCTGGAACAAGTTTGCATGAATGTCTTAAAGATGTGTGGGGGGTTGCCACTAGCAATTGTGGCGATCAGTGGTGCTTTGGCTACAAGAAGCAGGGCAAACATAGAAGAGTGGCAGATGGTTTGCACTAGTTTTGGGTCTGAAATCGAAGGCAACGACAAACTGGAGGATATGAAGAAAGTCCTTTCCCTAAGTTTCAACGAGTTGCCTTATTACCTTAAATCCTGTCTATTGTATTTAAGCATCTTCCCAGAATTTCATGCCATTGAGCGTATGAGATTGATTCGGCTGTGGATAGCTGAAGGGTTTGTCAATGGAGAAGATGGAAAGACACTAGAGGAAGTTGCAGACAGTTACCTCAAGGAGCTAATCAACAGAAGTCTGCTGCAAGTGGTAGCAAAAACCAGTGATGGCAGGGTGAAGACTTGTCGCATGCATGACCTTCTAAGGGAGATTGTCAATTTGAAGTTAAAGGATCAGAACTTTGCAACAATAGCCAAAGAACAAGACATAATCTGGCCAGACAAAGTTCGACGCCTATCAATCATAAACACGTTGCATAATGTACGACAAAACAAGACCATATTCCAACTTCGGTCTCTGCTGATGTTTGCTTTATCAGATCCACTAGAGCATTTCTCTATACATGCGTTATGTTCCACTGGTTTTAAGTTACTGAGGGTGTTAGATTTGCAGGATGCACCTTTGGAGGTTTTTCCTACTGAAATTGTCAACCTTTACCTTCTCAAGTATCTAAGCTTGAAGAATACAAAGGTGAAAAATATTCCGGGTTCAATTAAGAAACTACAGAACTTAGAGACATTAGATCTTAAACATTCCTATGTCACTGAATTGCCAGTTGAAATTGTGGAGCTGCAACGATTACGCCATCTCTTGGTGTATCGATACGAGATTGAATCCTATGCATATTTCCATTCAAGGTATGGCTTCAAGGTGGCTGCTCCAATTGGACAAATGCAATATTTGCAAAAGCTATGTTTCATAGAGGTAGACCAAGGAAGTAAAGCTTTGATGATTGAGTTAGGAAAACTTACTCAACTGAGGAGGCTTGGCATTAGAAAGATGAGGCAAGAAGATGGAGCTGCTTTGTGTTCATCCATTGAGAAGATGATCAATCTCCGATCATTGTCCATAACTGCAATTGAAGATGATGAAATAATTGATATTCACAACATTTCAAGGCCACCTCAGTTTCTTCAGCAGTTATACCTGAGTGGACGGTTAGAGAAGTTTCCTCACTGGATAAGTTCTCTCAAGAATTTGGTGAAGGTGTTTCTAAAATGGAGCCGGTTAGAGGAGGATCCTCTGGTACATCTTCAAGATTTGCCAAACCTAAGACATGTTGAGTTTCTTCAAGTTTATGTTGGCGAGACAATGCATTTCAAGGCTAAGGGATTTCCAAGTCTGAAGGTGTTGGGTCTTGATGATATAAAAGGATTGAAATCTATGATTGTGGACGAGGGAGCAATGCCTGGTCTCAAAAATCTCATCATCCAGCGCTGTGATTTACTGAAGCAGGTACCATTAGGCATTGAACATTTAACTAAACTAAAAACGATAGAGTTTTTTGATATGCCTGAAGAATTGATTGCAACACTGCGTCCAAGTGGAGGCGAGGATTATTGGAGAGTGCAACATGTCCCAGTAGTTTATTCTACGTATTGGAGGGATGGTGGTTGGGATGTCTACTCATTAGAGACTTTAGGTGAGAGAGAGAGTGATTCCAGTCATAGCGCTGCAATCCGAAGTCTTGAACGTCGTATGCTCTGGAAGGTTTAACTTGGTTTTCATTTTTTTTAACACACTTCATATGCTACTGATGCCAAATTTTTGTTTTACATCAGATTGCATACGTAAGTGATGGCATTTTTTTAATATTCCATCAGATAGTATGCGTAAGTGATTGTGATCTGTAACTACTAAATAAATCAGGAAGCATGATTTGTTTCTTTAATTCTGATGTTACTGAATAAAAATGTTTAATATTTTGGTTTACCAACGCATCCATTATATGTTCGCTTTTGAAGTTATGACTGTGATATGTAACTACTAACACTAGTTTGTTAGCTAGCAGTAAAGGATTCAGAAATTTTATGCTGTGGGAGTAATATAAACATGATTTTTTTTTCAGACTTGCTATTTGTTGGATAGTGGCAAGTAAATTATTCCTCTTAACCAGTCTCCAACTGCATAGTTTATGTATCTCAATATTCCCATCTACCTTTGCTTAGTTATTTGGAGTTATGGGCTGATTTGAACAGGTTACTAATGCGTGATCCCAGAGCTAGGTGTGTCATATGTCTTCTGCGACCATTTTTTTTTCACGGCTAATGATAGTTCATGAATTTTGACAAATATTTTTCATATTTAAATTTGACAAATTTAAATCTATCCAGTAACGGTTCTATATTACAATAGATGCGAGGGTAGCAATTGATAGTTAATAACCTCCTTTGGTTACTTTTCGTAAGCCAAAAGTTCATACTAAATAGGATTTTCCGTTCTTATATGCTCTAAGCGTATCTTTAGTTGATAATTGTAGTTTTTTTTTTTTTTGAAGTGTAAAGATTTTTGAAGTTTTATCTCTCTCAATGAAGTTATTTTTAAATATGTGACTTAAGAAACCTAATTATTTATCTACTATTACAAACTTTATTGATAGAGGGAAATATGAAAAAAAACTTTCCAAAGAAAATATGACATAAAAAATGAGCCATAAAAAATAAACTGCAGCAAAATAATTGAGAGTGAAACACTAAACAAATAAAAGAAAGTGATAGATTGAGATGGAAATGAAATGCACTGAAAACAAACATTGAACCAAAATCAATTGGAAGAATGTAAGAAAATGAAAGCTTATAATTATTATTTTAGAATGGTTTAATCTAGTTTTCAATGTTCTTACAGATAACATATAACATATTATCTTTAAATGTATGTTTTTTTTAGATGACACATAGTATTGATTAATGATTGAAAAAAATATTAATGCTAAACTTGAGTCAGAAAACAATTTATGGTCTAAAGTTTTTTGTTTAAGTAGAAGTAAGATATAAGATAATATTATATCACAAATTTTTAAGTTTAAGTACTTTGGATTGATTCCATAGAATGATTAAGAAACTAATGAAGATATTACTAATAGAATACAAGCTAAATAATTCAAGTGAAAAAAAAAGTTATTTATGACCATTAAATATTTATCAAATTAAAAGAAAATTTTTTATTATACTATAATACGATTAAGTATCTTATATAAAAAATTCTATTATATTATAATATAACCAGCTATGAGAATGTAAAAAGAAATGAATAGCACATTAAAAAAGATTAGATATGAAATGATATTATACGTAAAAATATTAGAGAAACACCTACAATAAAAAAATAACTGAAAAATGTCTAATGTGTGGTTTGATCACGTAAAAAAAAATTTTAAAGACTAATAAAAAGTGTGGAACGTACCAACATCTGCTAGTAATATCTTTGACCTGTTCTTTAACTCGTTATCAATATTTGTTCTCCCTATGGGAACTTTTCTTCTAATAACTAATTTTTTTTTATATAATCACTAACAACAATAATAATAGACTCAACCTACTTGCAGTTTATATAGTTTAAGATTTCATAAAATGCTTATGTAGTGCTCAACTAACGCGGATGATACTTGGGTACTCATAACTAAGCCTTGTTTTCAAAATATGACCCGTAGAAAATGTTTGAAACTTGCGTTCTATTGTAGAAGGCAGTGCGTACTGCTTTAGGCATAAACTCTCTTCGGTAAATTACATCCACAAGCAGTCCATGAGCCTATCCTTCTTATACTAGAGAATAAACTGTCTTTGACTTCTGGACCAAAAGAAAAATTGTATTTGACTTTGCTTCCGGTACAATGAATGTGTCCTTAGGTGGTTGCTTTTTCATCACTTTTTCGAATTTAATTTTTAAAAGAGAGTAATATATTTTGAAAACTTGTTTCCAAAAAATATATAAAAAAAGGGGCTGATGGGACTAAGATATTTAATTTTTCGAATTTCAAATATTGAGCCTAGTGTGCCCAGACCATTCAAAGTACATTATTTTAAGGCAAAGGAAATTATGAATAAATATGAAATTTTAATATACGCCGCCTTTTGTGTATCACTAATGAATGCCAATACTTCCAAAATAAAACAGTGTTTGTTCGAAACAAGAGAAATGGAGAGCGAGGAATTTTTATATAGTTTACATGTTTTGTTAAAATATTAGAGAAAATTAAAATAATAAATTTTAATGTACTATGAAAATTAAAGAAATATTTTATACTGTATATATGTAAAACAATCGTAACAAAGTTAATAATTTATTTTAAAAAATATAAATACTTTTAATATTTTAATAACAAGTATCAAATAAAATAACTACTCAATTTTAACTCATTAAAAATCAGACATGTTAAAAGGAAGAGAAACTTTAAACTAACTAAACAAAATTATCTTTAATTCATGTTCCGATGACAAACATAGAATTGCGATCAAACAATCAGAACTGCCATCACCAACTCAAACCCGTCGCTCAAACATAAAATCGTGATCAAACAACTAGAACTATCATCACCAACTCAAACTTGACGCTGACATAATATTCTCAAACATGCTCATAGTTGCTATCATTACGTATTATTTCATATAAATTCAAATCCAGAACACTATACACTGAGATCATGTTCGAGATAACCCAATCACCACATAATATAGTCGCATCATCATGTTTTGACAACTTTAATAAATGACAATTTCATTAACATTTATGTATTATCCTACGAGTGTAGGATGCACATCCATGTCGAATGAACATGATGACAAGTGTGTAACCCAATGAAATTCCTAACATCCCATGTATAACAATGAAGTTTCATGACTTAGATACATATTTTATCATATTCTATAGTAACCCTAACTAAATTTTCTTTTAGACATCAAAGTGGTTCTTACAGAAATACTTACCATTAGAGCCAATATATGACCAAGAGTCATTGTCAACCACCGGCTAAGATACTCTATATCAAAAGAACTCTATCTCAACAATTTGGTATGCATTAATTTAATAACAATTTGACTATGTTAAATAAATAATAAATTTATTTATTTCCCCTTTCTCATTTTTCAACAAAATAAAATGTCTCTCCTCTCTATTAAAATCCTTTACTTCTTCTCACCTCCCCTGAAACAAACATGTATGTATTAAGGATTTCGTCTTGCTTCTTATGTACTAACACATCTGAATGGTTCTAATTTTAGCTCCTGAACGACGTTCTATTTTAGTCATTATAATAATTTTATATATCCTATAACTCGATTAATCTCAACGAACTTCTTAGAGTTACTAAACTTGGTTTGGTCATCAAATTGATCAGGATGGATCACCGATTAAACCAATTAAATTGTGTTATAGATCATATATGAGATGAATATAATCATAGAAACATTATAAGTTGATAGACCGGTGATCAGCTCAAGCTAGATTTCATTGATAACTAAGGAAGTAGTAATGTATCATTGTTTTCAATTCTAAACAGACTGGTAGTTTCCCCCAGATTTTGAATGTATCCTCACCCTTGGGTGTAAGATTGAAGGCTTAATTGTTTTAAAATTGAATAAAATTAATTTTGATAAAAATAATTTTAAATAGTTGGGCATAATTAAATGTGTAAAAATTAATTTTAGTCACAAATTTTTTATGAAATGCATTTTTTTATTAAAAGTTATTAAAACCAATTTTTCAATTATAAATCCAATAAGCCTACCGACTGATATAGTTAAACCCTTCCTTTTTATTTTTGGTCAAGAACCTTTCCTTAAACTTACACACTTGAGAGAGCTACTCGTTTACCCAACTTGAAATCGCAACCGGTGAATTAGTAAAATTACGCAGTAACTATAAAGGGGAGAGAAAATAATATATGGATGAAATTGTACTAGCAGAGAAAAAATGGCCGGAGAGACGGGAGAGAATCTGGACTTTTCATTTACTAATGTACCAAAGCTCTTTTTGGGGACTAATAATTTTCTTTACACTTTTGGCAAATGCAAATCGTTCCATTCCCTTTTCCCAAACCTAGTAGACACCATCTGTCTAATTCGAAATAATATATATAGAATCAAATTCGTTAGCCTGTCAAATTTGTGAACTTACGCTGCTAAATAACTTTAATAAGATTAAATTAATCTAATCATTAATTTGAAAATTTTTGTTAAAAAAATTAATTTTATGAAATTTCACACAAAATAAAATTAACAGATATTTCATCACATTATTTTATTTTAACAGATAATATATTTTTAAAATATAAATAAATATTAAATTTTGAATAACATACCTAAAAAATGTCCAAATAATATAAATTTATATATATATATATATAATTATAAAAATAATATAAAGTGATTTCTTAATTGGATTCATCTGAAACATTATTAAATGATATAAGTATGCAGGTGTTTTTTCCAGATAAACAAGTGCATGCACATGTGTATTTTATAAAAATAAAAGAAAGTATATTGTCTTAATCTACCAAATATTTTAATGCATAAATCAAAGAAATAGAAAAGGTTAACCAGCTTCTAAATAGGAGAAGTTGCGTTTCCACAAGCAATATAGTTTTAATATCCTTTACGCGTTTCTTCCTCATATTGTCAAACTAAAACAAGTCAGCAACCTCATATAATTATTGATTTATCTTAAGAAATATTTAACTTTTAGTTGAACTTACATATTTTATGTTTCCTTTTCATATAGGTATTTAGTTATCTGCTTCTTGTGATGCTGTTAGATTTCAATTTTTTCTAGTTATTTAGGTATAAGATATCAACAACAAATGAAACTCTAGTTATTAAACTCGACCAAAGAGTGTCTTTCTCGCTATAAGACACTACCAAGAAAGGCACTTCATACAGCTAACAAGCATGAAATCTAAGTCTCTCTCTACTAATCTACAGCGTATGTAACTAATCTAGAAAGCAAGAGATCATGGCAGAGAGTGCCGTGGGTTTTCTTCTCCAAAGGCTTGCACCGATTTTTCAGAATGAGATGAAATTGTTCCCAGGGGTTCAAGCAGAAGTAATATATCTTAAAGAACGGCTGGAGTCATTAAGAGCTTTCTTAAGGGTTGCAGATGCATTAGAGGAGAGCGATGAGGAACTCAAAGTTTGGGTTAAGCAACTCAGAGATGTTGTTTACGAGACTGAAGATCTTCTTGATGAATTGGAACTTGCCCAGGCACATAACCAGACAAACAGATTTTGCATCTCTCTCCACATCAGGAACATGAAAGCACGTTATCGGATTGCTCATGAGTTAAAAGGCATCAACTCACGCGTGAAAACTATTTTTTGAATTCATAAGAGATTCCTCAGTAAACGTGGCACTGCTTCAGAGGCTTCACATTCCATTTATACAGGTACTACTAACTGCAAAGACTCTTTAAATCTTTAGTGATGCATATCCTAAATTCCTAATGTTCGTGTGACAGTAAATTGATGCTGGTCCAATTGAAGCATTTTCCACACTAATCACACAATTTCTTTTCGAGCTGTTCTCTACTTTTCTTTATTCTCTCATTTTACTATTAACAGAAAAAGAACAAAGGGGGATACTGATCAATCTGCAGGGGTTTCACCAGTTAAGTCTAGGATATGAAAGCTTCAAGTAATAACAATTTTTTATGGTCCATTAGTACTAACAATTTAAACACCTCCAATTGGCGACCATGTTTACCTCTCCTCTCACGGCATTGATTTATTTATATGCCACTGACATTGCATGTCTTTTTATACTAGACCAAAAAAAGATCAACATAATAAACGAGGTATAAAAAAAAGTGAGCATGGGGCAGTGTGTAAATTGCATTCTAACAAGGAAAGTATTTGCTTTGCTATTACACAATTCTCACTTATGAGTACAATAAACATATTCTTAAACAGGAGACACATGGCATGATCAGCGCGGAGATGCCCTTCTCCTGGACAACACTGATCTAGTGGGCATAGAAAGGCCTAAAAAGCAGTTGATCGGGTGGTTGATTAAGGGTTGTCTTGGACGAAAAGTGATTTCTGTTACTGGAATGGGAGGGATGGGAAAAACTACTTTGGTAAAGAAAGTATATGATGATCCAGAAGTAATAAAACACTTCAAAGCCTGTGTTTGGGTTACAGTGTCTCAATTTTGTAAAATTGAGGAGCTTCTCATAGACTTGGCTCAGAAACTTTTTTCTGAAATACGACGACCAGTTCCAGAAGGCCTCGAAATTATGTGTAGTGATAAGCTGAAGATGATTATTAAAGACCTATTGCAGAGGAATAGGTACCTAGTGGTATTTGATGATGTGTGGCATGTATGTGAATGGCAAGCTGTCAAATATGCATTGCCTGACAATAATTGTGGCAGCAGGATCATGATCACCACACGCAAATCTGATTTAGCCTTCACTTCCAGCATAGAATCCAATGGTGAGGTGTATAACTTGCAACCCTTGAAAGAAGATGAGGCTTGGGATCTATTTTCCAGAAAGACTTTTCACGGTCATTCATGCCCCTCACATTTAATTGACATCTGTAAATATATATTACGAAAATGTGAGGGTCTGCCCATTGCAATTGTGGCAATCAGTGGCATCTTGGCCACACAAGACAAGCGCAGGATAGATGAATGGGATATGGTTTGCCGTAGCCTTGGAGCTGAGATTCAAGGCAACAGCAAACTTGATAATTTTAAAACAGTATTTAACCTCAGTTTTAATGAATTACCTTACTACTTGAAATACTGTTTCTTGTACTTGAGCATCTTTCCTGAGGACCATCTGATTCAGCGCATGAGATTGATTCGCTTATGGATAGCAGAAGGATTTATTGAAGCCAAAGAAGGAAAAACAAAGGAAGATGTAGCCGAGGATTACCTCAAGGAGCTCCTGAACAGAAACTTAATACAAGTAGCAGGGACGACATCTGATGGAAGGGTCAAAACTTTGCGAATCCATAATCTTCTACGAGAGATGATCATTTTGAAGTCTAAGGACCAAAACTTTACAGCCATTATCAAAGAACAAAATGTAGCATGGCCTGAAAAGATTAGGCGCCTTTCCATGCATAGCACATTACCACATCGACAGCAACAGAGGTCTGTTTCTCAACTCCGTTCCCTCTTATTGTTTGGGGTTGTTGAAAATTTATCCCTAGGCAAACTGTTTCCAGGCGGTTTCAAACTGCTTAGTGTTTTAGATTTTCAAGATGCACCTTTGAAGAAGTTTCCAATAGCAGTTATTGACCTATATCATTTAAGATATCTAAGCTTAAGGAATACAAAGGTGAAAATGGTTCCTAGTCATATAATAGGGAAGCTGCATAATCTAGAAACATTGGATCTTAAGAAGACTTCTGTCAGAGAATTGCCGGTAGATATGCTAAAACTGCAAAAGCTTCGCCATCTCCTTGTATATCAGTTTAAAGTCAAAGGTTATGCACAGTTCTGCTCCAAATACGGTTTTAAGGCCCCCCTTGAAATAGGAAATTTACAGTCATTGCAAAAACTTAGTTTTGTAGAGGCCAACCAAGGCGGTGGTACAATAATATTGCAGTTGGGGAAGCTAAGTCAACTAAGAAGGTTAGGCATCATTAAACTCAGAGAGGAAGATGGGAAGGCTTTCTGTTCATCCATTGAGAGATTGACTAATCTCCGTACCCTCTCTGTTACTTCTGAGGGTGAGAATAAATTCATTGACCTAGAATTCCTTTCTTCACCCCCTCCGTTACTTCAATGCTTGTATTTGTCAGGACATCTACAAGAGTTACCAAGTTGGATACCGTCTCTGCATAGCCTAGCCAGGTTATTTCTGAAATGGAGTTATTTAAAATATGACCCACTGTTACATCTGCAGGATCTTCCAAACCTTGCACAACTTGAACTACTTCAAGTTTATGATGGTGACACATTGCATTTCAGGTGCGGAAAGTTCAAAAAGCTCAAGGTTTTAGGTCTTGACAAATTTGATGGACTCAAACAGGTGACAGTGGGGAAGGATGCAATGCCTTGCCTAGAAATGCTGATAATTGGGCGTTGTGAATTCTTGAAAAAGGTGCCATCAGGCATTGAACACTTGACTAAACTGAAAGTCCTTGAGTTTTTTGATATGCCAGATGAACTGATGAAGACAATATGTCCACATGGTCCTGGAAAAGATTACTGGAAAGTTTCACATATTCAAGATGTTTATTCTACTTACTGGAGAGATGGTGGTTGGGATGTTTATGCACTAGACAGTCTCAGAGATTGTTCTCCCCAATCTGGCACAGTCATGAGAAGTCATGATCGTCGCAATTTGTGTAAGGTGTAGCAATCTGTTAACTACCTTCATTGTGGTTAAAAAAATGAGCAGACTCATTCCCTGTACAGAAGCCAGCTCTCTAAATAGTGTAATCAATAATAATCGTTGTTCAATAGACTCGTTGTAGATGATTCTTCCTGCATCTCATATCTAAATCCCATTCTTTCTCTATCTTTTTCATGATTATAGAAATAATATGTTACCAGTGATACTTACTATAAGATATATCCTATCTTCGACGCAAGTGAAATTGATATAACAACAATTAGCAGTGAATGGGGAAAAAACAAACAAATTAGAAAGGACAAGCAATGGAGAAGTTGAACAAAATTACCTCAATGAACACTTAATTCATATAGCAGACACTTCAAAACCGTTTGTTTCCATGACATTGGTTCAGCAAAGAGTAGAGATGACTATATATTAGAAATTAATTCCTGCATAAAATCGAATGCAAAACAAATTACAAAATTCAAAAGCAAGGAGTTCAATTAGTAAACTACGTTCTCTGTGTGATTGTTTGAGATCTACAAATTGCAGTTGCACCAAGATTCTCAATCGAAAGTGAAAGACTTGCACAAAATTGATTGGTGAGGGAAGCTTCGGATCCAAACCTGGAGATTTTGAACAATTTGGCAATTTGCAGTTAAGGATGTGTATCGTAAAATGTGGCGTTAGGATTTAGGGGAACTATGTTAGGCACTGTCGTCATTTGCTAAAAACGAAGAAAGAAAAGGAAAGGTATTCAAATTGTTGTTAACATTTTTCTTTTCCCTTTCTTTAAAAAGAACATCTCATACGTTAATCAGGAAGTAATTAGTTTATCATGTTAACGAAAAATCAAATACTTAGTTTGTCTAATATGTAAATAAACTAAACAACAAAATTTGGATCCTTACATGTAATTAGTATGTAAATATTCTTTGTAAAATTGAATAACATTCAATTGAGAAATATACGCTGCTGTTTTTTCTAAAAGACAGCACGTCACCATTTAATTAGAAACGTAACGATAAAAATATATAAAAAATTTAATCTAAACTTAATCTTTAATTTTTCAGCGCTGATTTGACACTATCTTATTAAATGTTAATTATACTTGTTTATTTTACTAATTAAAAAGTTTTAAAATAATCTTTTCAATATCTATTTTAATGTACTAAATGGGACATAAACTTATTTTTTTTCTTTTCAAGGTTAAACGTGCAATCTAATTTTTATTTTTAAAAAAAAACTAATTTTGTAAACATTTTTTTTATGTTTTCAATAGAACAAATCCCTTCTTTCTAACATTAACTTTCTATTATCTACCATTTAACCTAACGCAATTGATGCATAAAATAGAAAGATCGTTAAATAGACCAATTTTAAGCTTTTAATAAATGAGTCGAGTTTAAATTGTTTATCTTTATCACAATCCAAGCATAACGTTAAATATTCGACTTCATTCAATCCATTTACACTCCTAATGTCCAGCTTCCCTATCAATTCAAAAAAGGAAACGAACCAAGAGACAGAGATAGATTGAGACAAGAGCCAATAAAAGCAAAGGGAGAATTGCATTTTGGAAAAATGGGACATCATTTTCTCAGAACTCAAATTGCTCAATGATCATATTCTCAAGCACCACACCATTTTGCCGCACAATTACACAAAATTTTGAATAAAAGATATATTTCTCGAGCCAACCAAAATATTCCCAGGCACGATTGCTAAAACTCGTCATAAAAGATTAGCGTGCCTTTGCTGCCTATCTACTCGGCACCATTTCAGTATCAGTTCCTCCAACCTGAGTAGAATGATACATGCATACGTGCATGCATGCATAAATGTGAATACCCTTTTAACAAAGAGGACGCTTTCATGATAAGCCATCACCTAAATATGTGAATACCCTTTTCTTGAATAGGAGAGCAAGGTCAACGATTTCGATTTCTCTTATATGTTTTGCCATATTGTCTTGCTCCTCATTTTTCTTTCCTTTCCGAGATAATCTGCTTGCAACATCAATTGTCAACCCAGCCATATCCCTAGTGTTCGTTAGACTCCGCAAGACGGTGGCAGAATATGAAGGACTAGACACTAGTCTGTTAAGTAATATCAGTATCTCCCGTATCAGAAATGTCCTGACAACAAATTTCTCAGCACGAGTCAGAGAAAATCACAGACTTCAATCACATTGCACACGTGAAATTGGAAACAAAATAAATTCAAACTGGATGGCTTCATCAATATCTCAGCATCAAAATCAGCATTAATGTAAGAAACACAGACATGGATTATGTTTATTCATTCAAAAACAAAAATAGAAGTATCCCCTAGAAAACGGTTGTATAGCACAGTGTTACAAATATTTTTCATTATCTAAAAATGATGAAAATTTATTTATAAGAGAAATGGACTTTTCATGATTGTATTCAGTCAGACACTCAAATATAATTACCTCTCCCTGAAAATTTCTGGCAGCTCCTCATTTGCTCCAGCTTCAAGGTCCATCTCTGATACCAGTAATTGCAAAATCAACATAAGATAGTTTACCCCGCTACTAGAGAGCCTATGACCAACAAGAATTTCAAAGCCCTGTTGTCCGGATGATGCCAGGAATGCCAGCACAAGAATAGCACTTCTGCTTACTTTCAACTCCTGAAATTACAATGACCTAATTTTTATGCCGATAATATTTTGAAATGCATATCATTAATTTTATTTTTTCCCCAAACTGAAGTACCTTTGCTACATCCCTATAATTGAAAAGGATAAGAAAGCTTTAAATCTTCATGTTTTGACCAAAGGTTTCAAAAGAGTACTTAATTTATAGCTTAAATAAAGTTTTGGTCTTCCAAAATTCACAATTTTTTATTTGGTCCGTCCTTTATACCTTTTTCCAATCTTTCATCAAAATATATCTTTCATTTTCATTAGGTCTTTCTATTAATAATTTGCTAATTTATTTTAATCTTTGTTTACATAACATTAGAGTTGACTCAATTAATTTGATTGAAGATATCATGAATGAGATATGTCATTAATAACATCATATTTTTCGTATAATTGAGTGGAATTTTAGCTCATAAAGTCAAAACTTCTGAAATGGAGATTTGGAAATATATAGCAAATGAAACTGTAGATGCTACATCAACCCTGCCATATTATGAGTTAAGTTGGATGTTACATAGATAGATACTGAAAAAAAGTCAAGTGTCTAAATGTAGGACCATATAAAAGGAAAAAAAAAATTTCCAGACTTAGTTTACAAAAAATTAGAAATAGGAATCAAATGAAAAATTTGCAAATTTTTTAAAGACAAAAACCTTTTTTAAGCCTTAATTTATTCACATATTTTTTAAATGAGAAAGTGAAGAAACATACATGTAAATGAATAAATGAAATTGTTGAAAGAGAAAATATTGAGACATTAGAATAAATCCATGTGTCTTGAGCACAGCAGAGCTATTCAATTTTATAGAAAAGAGTACATAAGTACAAAATATACAATTATTATATTTACAATATTCTAATAGATTCTAACACTCCCTTTCAAGTTGGAGCATATAGATCATATGCACCAAGCTTGTTATATATGTAGTTAATCCGAGGATCCTGTTAAAATTGGTCTAATATAGTAAGAGAAAGAATGAGAAAAATATTTGTATTGTTTACAAGAACTCCTTTGGTCAATGTGACCCCAAGATAGAAACAGTACAATGTGTACAACATACTCCTAGAGTCTCCGAATGCTTTCCTAATCCAATTCCTAAAACCAACATGTTTCCTACCATCCCTCTTCTTCCTTTTATATCCCTTATTCTATTAATTACCGCTCCTAACTACCTTTGTTCGTTTCGTTCTAGTCTCTTACCTTATTCTTATATTGCCTCGTATACACTTTCTTTAATATTGGTCTGCTATTAGACCCCCTAGTGATTTAGTAAATATATCTACTAGTTGATCATGAAAATTGACAAAACTAATAGATAATTCTCTAAACATGACTTTCTCTCTGACAAAGTGACAATCAATTTTAATGTGCTTTATCCTCTCATAGAATACTGGATTTGAGGCAACGTGCATGACGGCCTAGTTATCACATATAAGTGACATATGTGTAACCTCTCCAAACTTTAGCTCTTAAAGCAACTATTTGAGCCATATAAGCTCCTGACTCGTTATAGTCATAACTCGATACTCCGCTTCTGTGCTGGATCAGTTTATAATATTTTATTTCTTACTTTTTCTAGAAACAAGGTTATCTCCGACAAATATACATAATTCAGATATGGACCTTCTATCTATGGGAGATCCTGTCCAATCTGCATCAGAATACCACACAACTCAAGTGTGTCTTTTGTCTTTATACAAAAGTCTCTTTCTTTGAGCTCCTTTGATGTATCGAACAATACAAGTAACTACGTTCCAATGTTCCTTACATAGAGAGTTGAGAATTTGACTTACTACACTCATTATGAACAAGATATCTGAACATGTAACAGTGAGGTAGTTCAACTTTCCTACTAATCGTTTGTAACTTTCAGGATCTAGAAGAGGCTCCCCCTGATTTGGCAAGAGTTTGATATTGGGATCCATGGTAGTGTCAACTAACTTAGAATTTAACATTCCTGTTTCTTTCAAAATATCCATTGTGTACTTCCTTTTCAATTGTTAGATTGTTGATTTGTACAGTTAAAATTTGATGTAAGTCTTTGTGTCAATAAATCCTAACCTATATATATAAGGTTGAAACTTGCATTTTTTATCTAGCTATTTTGTTGCTCCACTTGTTAATAGAGCAATGACTTGACTAGTTCAACAAAAAAATAATAACTTGATTAAATTTTAGCTTATAAAGTTAAAACTCCTGAAATTGAGATTTGGAAATATATAGCAAATGAAAGTGTAGATGCTACATCAACTCTGCCATATTATGAGTTAAGTTGGATGTTACATAGATAGATACTGGAAAAAATTAAAGTGTCTAAATGTAGGACCATATAAAAGGAAAAAAAAAATTGCAGACTTGTTTTTAAAAAAAATTAGAAATAGGGATCAAATGAAAAATTTGCAAATTTTTTAAAGACAAAAACCTTTTTTAAGCCTTAATTTATTCACATATTTTTTAAATGAGAAAGTGAAGAAACATACATGTAAATGAATAAATGAAAAAAAAAATAGTAATTTAGATGGCTTCGCATTACATTTCTCATTTTTTCATGCATTAATTTTCAATCCACAAAACAAAGCTTTAATGAGTTATAGGATACTTCCACAGGCAACAGTAAATCAAATGGTAATTGATAGCTGTAGGAGTGTGGCTGATTAACTGCTTGAGGTATTTTGTTGAACATTTCCACATGGGAGAAAAATGCACAAGATAACCCATAGCTGTGTGTGGCTGATAACAGTGGTTTAGCTATCATAATAAAAGTAAACACATCACAATATTCACAATCTGATATACCAAAATGTTATGTGGACAATATCAGCATCTTTGTTAGCAAACATACCAGTAAACCACCTCTATGAGATGCTACACAATCAGCCAGTCCTTCAAGGATGACTTTAAAATTTTGGAAATCTGAAGCAGATTCATTGTCATTCATAGCACTGCTATCATCCCCCTCTTTGCAACCACAGCAGAAAGTGACCAACAGTTTTGGACCTTGAACGCATGAAAATAAAATTTAAAACAAATAAACAAATAAATATAAAAGTTGGGATCTGCATGGAATGCACAGCACATACAAACAGACATTAACTCTCAGTTCTAAAACTAGAACGGTACATAAGCAACCAGAGCATGACAGTCTAAATTAAACACCCTAAGAACACAGATATGTGGAGCTTCAACGCATCCTCCGCTTAAAGACCCTTGATTCAGTAAGAAGTATCAGACTTTGTGCACAAGCAACATGGAATTGGATTTAGATGTACCACATCCTACTAACTATAAGAGCTTCATTTGAAGTTAAATAAAATGGAAAACTGAACTAATTAAGATTGTTATTGAGTTCAAGAATATGCTCAGGTATTTGCCAGTGGCCAGTCAGTTTTGCCAATAATTTGATTAGATGACAATGAGGCAGAAGAATGTACTTCCAAACATCCATGCCGTCATTGTAACAATAAACAAAAGGAAGCAATATAGTTTTGTTGATCTTTAAAAAGTTAATGAATGCATTCAAATATTTTCAAATTACGGAGTTGAAGAAACTGCTAAAAAGGAGGGGAAAAAAAAATAATCCCATCCAATTCCAAGCCAATTGACTGAGGTCTACATTTATTATTTGTGTTGTCAAGTGTTGCTTCAACAGATTAAAAGAATACATGATAGGTTTTAGTATATTATTTTCATTCAAAATAATTACTTTCGTACCAAATAATAAGTAAAGATATAAGTGAGATGCAAAATATTTTAGTGGAGGAAACTTACAATTTAGAACTAGGTACAGAAGTCGTAGAGCATGCTTTTTAACAGGTAGCCCAGCATCCTTCTTAAGCAACTCACAAATAGTTTTAAAAACTGTTTTCTTGCTAAACCTGTGTTCACAAAAATTTCTCTGGGCATAAACATAATATCTTCAAAAGTTAATTTTTTAACAGAAAGTCTATCTTAAAAACTTACTGCTCCCTCTCAAAGTAAGCATTACATCTCAGGAGGAGTAGCTTCATAATAGAAACTGTCTCAACTCTCACACTTTCTTCTATGATCCTCGTGGCAATTTGATGCATTATCTCAAAAAGACCAATCCAATTTACACGAGTTTGTAAGGAAATTTGATGGTTCCAGCACTCTTTTCTGCTTAGTATTCCTTCGTTGAAAAGCTTTCCATCTTTTACACCTTCCAATCCATCAGAATCCACAAGGTCCTTCTCAACACAGACTCCTTCAATGAAGACATTGTCCCTGAGCAGAGTGCACTGGAAAGATCAAATCATAAGTTCATAAGAACAAGAATAGCATAAAGGAAACAAAGAAAAATTGATTTCACATACATTGAAGCTCATTTAGCAGTTTATATACCCTATCCTGAATTTAGTCTTCCTCAAGAGGAAAAAAGTTTAGATCAGTAAAATTAGAAAAAGTAGTCTATCATGAAGGTTCGGCAGCATTTTCGGCAAGCAACATGATGATAGAATCGTTTATACAACAAAACACATTGAGCAAATAAACAACAAACCAAACTTCATTTCCCACCCCCCCCCCAAAAGGCCCCAGTGCCCCTCCACCCAAACACCGACCTCCAAAAGCCCAGTAAAAATTAGCCAACAGGGTAGAGACAGAGGGAGGGAGAGCAAAAGAAAAAAAATTCCTGTATTACATTTATCATATTTTGTCCCAGCACGGGAACTGACAAAATAAGTATAAAAAATTACAAGTAATACATTATTTTTGCCAGTACAACATTTTAATCTCATGAGAGCATGATACATATTAATTTCTTGTATCTAGCATTCTCTGAATGCAGGCACACAAACACACACCTATGGACATGCACACATGTGCGCATGTTTACACTTGTTCAATTATAGTGTAAGCTTGAAACATTTAGGCAGACATTCGGTTTTCAAGATGTTTTCATCATAGTTATTGTTAAATATATGTAAATATATTATTTAGGAAAATACTATCTGTTAAATATATTTAAATATATTATTTAGGAAAATAGTAAATATATAATTATAGTAATTAGATAACCGTATATTTGTCCTTAATTTTGTAGTTATAATTATGATTCTCGTTATCAATATAAATATACATCCCGTATTGTTGATGAGACTCACGAAATTCCTTTTATACTTTCTTGTTTTCTCTCATCTTAACATGGTATCAATATAAATATACATCCCGTAGTGTTCATTTGTTGGCAACACTGTTCACTAGCCGGCAACTTTTCCAACTATACTGTTCACTCACAGATACTTTTCTGGCCACACTGTTCACTCTATGACGACTTTTGTGACTGTACTGTTCACTTGCTGGATACTTTTCCAGTAGCACTGTTCCTTGCCAGTGACTTTCCAGCCACACTGTTCACACCACTGGCAACTTTTTTGGAGTGCTTCTTTGACCGGCTTCTCACCACTGCTGCTGCTATTTTACCTTGTTTTACCACTATTTGATTGTGTTTCTCTCTCTTCTAGGTTGGCGACTCCTACTCCTCTCAAACCTGCTTCCACTCCCAACATTCCACTAGCACTTTTCAACAATTTCTTTTGTTGGTATTGGGATCGCCAGGCCTCTGGTTACATTGCTTCTATTGTGTACACGGATAATTCTTTTGTTGGTAATTCTCATTCCCCATCTCTTCTTGGTCCATAGGTGCTTGATTCAAGTGCCACTAATCATATTAGTGATAATAAATCCCTCATTTCCTCCTTCTCTACATTTGGGTATTTACCTTTTGTTACTATGGCCAATCGGTCTCAAACACAATCTCAAGGTGTTGGCACTGTCTCTCTTCTTCCATCATTATCTAGCGACAATGTCTTATATGTTCTTAGATCTCTTTTTAATCTTTTATCTATAAGTCGGCTCACTCACACACTTAATTGTGTTGTCTCCTTAACTAAGAATTCCGTTTTACTCCAGGATTGGATGACGGGGCAGATGATTGGTATCAGCTATGAGTCACGTGGACTTTATCAACTCCAACCCCTCACACATGCTAGTTTGGCGGTGGATTCCCCTCTTCTTTTGCATGCTAGGTTGGGACATACAAGTCTTCAGAAGCTACAACTATTGGTGTCAAGTCTGTCTCAGTTATCTACACTTTCTTGTGAGTCATGTCAACTAGGAAAACGTGTACGTAGTTCCTTTTCGAGTCGTGAAAATAAGCAAGCTACATCTCCTTTTAGTTTGGTTCATTCTGATGTTCGGGGTCCTAGTTGTATTGTTTCTACTTTAGGTTCTAGGTATTTTGTTACTTTTATTGATGATTATTCTCATTGCACATGATTATTTTTAATGAAAAATCTTTCTGAATTATTTTCTATTTTTCAAAATTTTTTAATGAAATTAAAGTTCAATTTGGTCTTTTCATTCACTCTTTGCGTAGTGATAATGCTAAGGATCACTCAGTTTATTATTATCACTCAGCCACATGATGCATTTACTTGGTTGTGCATGTGGACGATATTATTATCACTGGCAATGACCATCATGGCATAACACAGTTGAAGAACTACTTATGTCACCATTTTCATACGAAAGACATTGGAAAACTTTGATATTTCTAGGGAATAGAGGTGGCACAATCCAAGCATGGTATTGTAATTTCTCAAAGGAAGTATACATTGGATATATCGCAGTAAACAAGTTTAATGGGGGCCAAATCTGTAGATATTCCTATGGATCCTAATTCTAAACTTCTACCAAATTAGAGGGAGTCTCTTGTTGACCCAAAAAAGTATAAAAGATTGGTTGATAAACTAAATTACCTCAATTACTCGACCCAACATCTCTTTTGCTATTAGTGTGATAAGTCAATTCCTCAATGCTCCCTCTGAAGGACATTGGGATGCATTGATTCGCATCTTGAAGTATATCAAAAGTGCTCTAGGAAAAGGTCTCCTATACGAGGACAAGGATAATGATAAGATTGTTGGATATTATGATGCAGGTTATGCAGGCTCTCATGATAGGAAGGTCCATCTCTGGCTATTGTGTTTTAATTGGAGCTAATCTAATTTCCTTGAAGAGCAAGAAGCAAAATGTGGTCTCTCTTTCTAGTGCAAAAGCAGAATATTGAGTCATGGCTTCAACCACATGAACTTATATGGCTAAAATTGAGATTTGGAGAAGATACACAAATGACACTCATTTGTGATAACCAGACAACCTTACACATTGCCTCAAATCCAATCTTTTATGAACGAACAAAGCATATTGAGATTGATTGTCCCTTATTTCGTGAAAATATCTTATCCGGAGTTATCGCCACAAGTTTTGTCAATTCAAATAATCAATTGACAGATGTATTCATAAAGTCTTTAAGGGGGTCCTCGTATTCAATACATATGTGATAAGCTTGGTGCATATGATTTATATGCTCCAGCTTGAGGGGAAGTATGAAATATATGTAAATATATTGTTTAGAAAAATAGTATTTGTTAAATATATTTAAATATATTATTTTGAAAAATAGTATCTATATAATTATAATAATTAGGTTACCGTATATTTGTTCTTAATTTTGTAGCTATGATTACGATTCTCGTTATCAATATAAATATACATCCCGTACTGTAGTTGAGATACACAAAATTCCTCTCATGCCTTCTTGTTTTCTCTCATCTAAATAGTTATCAAACCCAACCCAGACATTTAAATTGATCACAACTCGTAAGATCAACCAGTGAGCCACTAGATGGATAGTAAATGTATAAATTGAAATATAATATAAATACCATAAGTTCAAAAAGAGAATGGGGCCAATTTGAATTGAAACCTCGGGCTACTGGACACAAGCAACATAAATATCAATAAGAAGTTGTCAAAAATAAGGGAAAGTGTCACCCAAATAATGCATACCTTCGTCCAAAATTCTTTTCCAATTCCATTAGGAGCTTCAAAAGCATATGCAGAACACATAAAGAGCTATGGACAATGATAACCTGAGGAAGAAGGGTGAAAATTGTCAGCAAGGGTTATAAAATAAAAAACAAGGGGAGAAGAAAGGACATCTGATGAGATTACTTTCATGAACTTAAGAAACCAGCATAGTAACTTTCAAGCATAAGGACCTTTAAATTCTAAAATATCATCAAAGATAAAATGACAGGAGCCAATAATGACCCAATGTGCCCTAACTCTAATAGAAAATTCATTCAGAGAAATCATAGTATTCCAAAATATTGAAGCACTTAAGAAGTTTCTTACAAATTTGCTCCAGTGAACGCCACTCAGCAAAATAAAGAAGATTCAACTGACACACAACTTAATTTTAAACTAAAACACTCAACTTATTAAAATGTATCCCCAAAAATCCATCTAATAATTAAGCTCATATTTCAAACTTAACAAATAAGACCCACACAACCCGTGCAGCTCCTTCCGGACACAAAATCTGGAACATGCATCTCTATGAAAGAAAACTCCTCTAAACTCTAAAGTGGGTTTGTCTTTCAGACTTCAGTACATAAAGGGTGTATGCAACCCTAAGTTAACTGAGTACATTATAATCTTAATACATTAATATCTTCAAGGGTGGATAGTTGATTCATCTTTATTTATTAGTGAAATGTCAACTGTCTATCATCAGGGATGCAAAGACGTATTTCGTATAATAAAATGAGAGAAGTCACTGCCTATGGGTTAGTTAGCTGAAGGAAAACCAGCAGGATCTATTAAAATTGCTAACTAATCATTCTTCTCTAGAGCTACTGCTGAATGAGGAAATTGAACTACCCACTGATAAGAGCAATATAAGCTTGTGAGCAATTTGAAAATGAAGCATATATTCACAAATTTAATATAAAAGTACTCACATTTTCCGTACCACATAGATCAAGCAACGGGTCAATCAAAGTTTCCAACACATCTGTTCCATCAGCTATCTGCAAAACACATCAATAACTGGATAACATACAAATTACAACCTTGACTAATATTAATAAACAATAGAAACCAGCTTTATAACAAGAGGAAACACATCAAATATGTAACCATAAAAAGAGATTGGTTCAAAGACTCTTAAAAAAATAAAAAAACAAAATACATTCATTATGCAATTAAAAGAGAAGAGAAATACAGAAAATGATGACCAAGGTATCCTTCTTACTGTGCAGTAAACATGAAAACAAAACCCCCTTTAAAACAACCATGTGGAGTAACCAACAGGCAAGAAAAGTATAATCTACCAAATGAGATTTGCTGAGCCCATGCAAAATTTCTAACTCATTTTTTTTGCAAATATCCCAAAATCTATGAAGCATCGAAACTGCTGTTCGGTGGACTATTGGGTGTCGAACACGGCTCCGACACTGACACTGCCCGAACGCAGCTCCGACACGGTTACACAGTTGTCTAAAAACCTAAAACCATTTTTGTGGCTGCACATGGCTGCGATATGGCTCCGCATGGGAGACGTGGTGGCACCAGAAAAAAAATTTAAAAGTAAAGAAAAATATTAAAACTTAAAAAGTTAAAAAAATCTTTCATCTGCCCCTGAAAACTCCCTCTTTTCTTCCTTCTTCACGTTTCGTTTCTGTTCTGCTGTGTTGGGTTTTCCCTACACATTTCTCTACTTGCCGTTCCCCTTTTTCCTATCACCGTTCATCGTTCTCTAACAATGTTCATCTCGGTCATTTTTACTAGTTTGCTTGCTCATCTCTGTTTTCCGTTTTTCTCCATCTTTGTTTCATTTTTCTGTTTTCTTGTTTCTGTTGCTGTTTCAGTGTTGCTGTTCTGGGGTTCTGTTTCTGTTTTTGTTTTTGCTTCTGTTTTGCATTCATCTATGCACATGTACATTTCATTTTTTCCACTGTTTGTTGAATATTTGCTCTTGTTTCTATTTCAGTTTTTGCATTGTGAAATAATGCTGCTTAGTATCTTTTGTTACAGTATCATATGAAAATTGTGAAGTCAAGCTCTCAAGATAAATGAACAAATCTTAATTTTCAATTTAAATTTTTTATGTTAATTATATTTATAAGCGGTGTCCCAGTGTCCTATATTCTAGACATTAGCCGTGTCCCAGTATCTATGTCGTGTATGGCGTCCCTGTCGGAGTCGGTGCTTCATAGCCCAAAATCAATAATAAAGGCACTCGCCATGTTAAACCAAACTACTATTTTTAACCTGGTATATCACCACTGGATCAGAAAGATACATCTTCATATATGAATTCTAAAGGAAAGGATAAACAAACTCAAGGTTGAACTAATACCTTTGTCAAAGCAAGGTAAAGATGTGACACCTTCACTGCTTCTGGAGTATGAAAACAATCCTTTAGATAATGCAAAGCTTCTCCTGAAGAGCTTAAATTTGTAAATAACTCTCTTGTTATTTCGGAGGGCAGACTCATGTTCATGCAGCCAAAAAGAATATGAAAATCTCTTTGACAACCAGCAAGCAACTTGGATATTGCATTACTTCCCATCTTTTTGTCAGTTGGAGATCCCCATATTGCCAACAATTTCTGGGAGAGGTCAAGATAAGCAGCCGGATCACCACTTAGATAATCTTGATGATTAACCATGTTTGTTTCAACTCCTTTAGCTTTAAAAGTTGTTTCAACTGGCAGTGGCAAACAACAAAAACAAGCCAAAGGGATTGTCACTATGTCAGAGGCAAACAGAAAGTTGTTTTAAACGAGAAAGAGGGATTTTTCTCATGCCTCACCAGTTGGGTTATTTGAAGATACTCCATTTTGAAATTTTGAAGAGATTTTATGGTTGTCGGGAGCAAGAGTTCCAAAATCCCTGTCATTTTGACTCTTCATTAATAATAACTTTATGCCACATATCGATGCCATATGTAGTGCAACAAAACATGAGAGAAGGAATATAAAATACAATATCACGCCTTACACGCTAGACACTGGCTAGTTATTCATCATGGCCAACCTTGGGACAATTGAAGACAGAACTTACTGCTGACAGGTTAAACTCACTCAAGACTAATCTAGTACTCAAGCAATTTGATTATTAAATATTTGACATGAACTCTGAGTAATTTCGTTGGGAATTGGGACCATTTGTCAAGACACAATTGGCAATGGCCACATACAACTCTTACCATTGATATGACATGCAGTAATACAAACAGATATACAGGTTTTTATTCAACAATAGTTGCACTGAAAGGGCTACAAATTTTGTTTTATTTTCAGCTTTAGCTCATAAAGTTCCAAACAGAAAATCAAATGCCTCTTTTTCATCATAGTAGAGTAGTTCATTTTCAATGGCTTCAGCCTTATGACATCATTCAAGATATGCAAGCAGCAATGGTATAAACCTGCAATATAATAAAGAGCAAAACTATATGTTGGCTTGTTGAATAATCTGAGATGCACCGAAAGGGGACAATATAGACCCAGAACCAAATGAATGGCCTACCTTTAAATGAGGTCTAAAACAAAATTAAAAGTCTGACTTACTTGTTTATACTCTTTGAACATTTAGTACAAGCATTATCTTCTTCATTCCTGGAAGATATGAATTTGGCATGATCTTCTTTCTTGTCTCTTTCTTTCCTTAACTTGAGACACTCCTTTTCCTGAAAGTATGTAATTAAGTTATGACATGCCAACATTTTACTGACTCTTGGAGTCAACCAATTAAAAGCAATGAATGTGTATAGTTGCAACCAGCATACCAGATTTGCAATCTCCTTTGATGCACGCCCCAGTTCCCTCTGTCCTTGCCATGATACCAATAATAACAAGTTCAGTATAAGAAAAGCTTAAGTGAATCTTTGCTATTTAAATTTTAAAAGAGATCAACCGTGTATTAAAAATGCATGCACGTGAGCTGTTTTAACAATTATCAGCACAATTCACAATAGAAAAGATCATTTCCTCCCCAGTCATTCCAAAACACACAACAACATAACCGGATAAAAAAATGACACTATGCCCAACAAAAAGATGCCTAATTATAACCAAGTGACATGATTTCAATGATAAAAGCAAAAAATGGGTATACATAATACATTTCCTCAATGATTACCCTTCATTTTCCAATATTACAAGCAAATCTTTCAAACTTAGCTGCATTAATCCCAATACTGCAACTGCCGTTATTCTTTATAATTTTTGTTTCCTTATCTGAACTACTTTCTGAAATATCCACATCCACAAGGAACTCCTTCCGTTACTCAGAACAATTCCCATTACCTTAATAACTCTTGTACAAATAATCACAAAGTGCACATTAAAACATTGAGTGGCCAATGACTAACACATAGGGTAGACAAACGACAAAAACAGTTCATAGAGTGCAAAACTCAGAATGGAAGACCCATTTACTTCCACGGCGCAAAAAGGCACAAGTTGGAAGCTTTCAACCCAAAACGCAAAGTCATAGACACCCAATTGAACATTACCTTTAACCGCTCAATTTCGAGGTCTTTATTGGAAGGGGAATAGGGGGTTTCAGCGGTGGATCTCTGAGAGAGTTCTCGCGGAGGAGAGAAGGAAGAAGCGTGGAAGAAAGGAACGGAGACGGACGTAGGAGGATGCGATTGTTGAGGGAAGAAGGAAGAAAAAGAAGAGTTGGAGGGTGGTTTTGTGATTGATGAAAGGGTAGTCTCTTCGACTTTAAACACCTCGTCGAGCATGGCGTCATCCCATTCATCGTAGAAAATGTCTTCCTTGTTGTTCATCGTCTTCAGCCTTCGGTTATTCTCATGAGAATGGGTAACATGAATGGGCAATCAAAATGGGCAATGTATGTCAACTCCCCACTAAACTGGAAAAAGATCCCCCCTGTTACACGAGGGTTCGTGTTTTTGTATTTTCGCTTTCGCTTAAGGGAAAATATGCAAAATCATGGTAACATGAGGGGATCCCGGTTCCACTAAACTAAGCTTATTATTAGGGTTTTTTCCTCTCCTACCACGGAAACAGAGAGGCGGCTGATTGAGCCTACGGTCTTGCCTAGTTTAGGTCTAGTTTAAATTTTTTTAAAAATAAATAAGTTAAGTTTGAAGTATTTATAAAATTTATTAAATTTGACAGATTAATTTATATATATATATATATATATAATTTAAAAATAGAATGATTAAATATATTTAAATAATAAATTTATTTAATAATATATTTTTATATTTTTAATTATATTATCATTAAATTAATATATTATGTTATAATTTTTTTATAATAAATAAAAATTATATTTTATTTAAAATTAAAAATAGTTATACATAATTATACTTTTTAAATAATAAATTTATTTAATAATAAATTATCATATTTATTATACTTAAACAAGTTAAAAAATAATTAAATCTTTAAACAAAAATAAAACACAATCAATGAATTAAAATTTATAAATAAAATAATAATATTATATTAATATGCTTTTTATATTTTTAATTTTATTATTATTAATATTTAATTATTATATTAATATATTATGTTTAATTTTTTTATTTATAATAAATATAAATTGTTTAAATATGAAATATATTTTATTTAAAATTAAAATTTTATAAAAAATAATAATAAAATAAAATAAAAAATTTAATATAAAACATAGTAAATAATATAAATAATATAATTTTAAATAAATTATATATAATAATATATACTTTTTATAACTTATTACGTGTTTTATTTTTATTGATACAAATTTTTTGAGTAAAGTACTTATAAATAAATTTTAGGATATCAAATTTATAACATACAATTACACATTTCAATATAAATACATATAAATTTAAATTATTATTTTTAATGAAATGACATAAATATAGATATATTTTTCTTAAAACATATAGTTATTAATATATATTTAAAATTTAATAATTAATAAATATTTACATAAATAAAAAATTATAAATAAAAATTAAATTATTAATTAATTTATCAATTTATATATAATATATAAGTATATGTAATGTATTGTATATTATATTAATGTTATAGTATAGTGAATTTTACGAATATTTGTTAATTTTAAATAATAAATAAATAAAATTAAAAATTTTGTAATTATTTTTTAATTTAATAAGTATTATTATTATCATATTATATATATATATATATATATATATATATAAAATGCATTGAGTTTAAATTTTTATATTAAGTTTTATTATATATTTTTTATTAAGATAAAAATTTAAAAATATAAGTTATTTTAATTTAAATATAAATTCTATTAATTTTTATTATACTCATATGTTATTTTTCTACATGTATGAATTTTATAATTTAAAATAATTTAACAATAATGATATTTATATATTTTTTAAATATAATAATTTTCTTTTAACTGATTTAATAAATTTTATGAGTATTATTTTTTGTGATCAAGTTTATGTGTTTATTGTAATTTTATTTATTGAATATAAGATATTTTTAAACAACTAAATTATAATTCTTATAAAATCTTTAATACTTTAATAATTTTTTAAAATAAATAAAAAATAAAAATATAAAAATTTTATAATATGAAATATTTATAATTAATGTTCAAAAAACATTTTAAAAATTATTTATAAATTATATAAAAAGTATTACAAGTATTTAATAATTATCAATAATATAGATGAAAACTAAAAAAATATTTAAACTAATTTGATAATAAAATATTTATATTTTTATTAATATTAAAATATATTTTTTATAGCGTGCTTTGTTAACAAGCTTCAAGATAAGTCAGGCCATTTAAATAAGTAAAGTAAAGTTGAAAATAAAGACTTTAATAAGTAATAGGCCTAACTTAAGCTCAAAAATTATGTTACAAGTCAGCTTTGTTTAGAGTAAAATCTGGCTTGACCTGATTTATTTTTATGCTTTCGGCTTTCTCCCTTACTCTCTCTCAGCTTTTTTGTTTTTACTTTTTTAACTTATTTTTAGGGAATACTTTTGCTTTCTACTGATATAATAATAATAATTACATTATTTAATAAGTAAATTTAAACATATTTGTGCATCATTTTAATTACTCATGGCTTGTTCGGATAAAATGAATCAAATATACAAAAATGGAACGGAGATAAAATATAAATAAAATAATGCAGTATTTGAATTGGTAGAAATAATAAATAAAATGGATTAAAATCGAAAATATGTGAAGATTATTTTATTTTTACGTTAATTATTAGCTTTTTTTAATAAAGATAAAAGTGGTTGTAAAATTTTTGGTAAAATTGGTGTTTTTTATTTTTTATAAATTTATTAATTGTTCTTTTACCTTCTCTATATTTTCCTAATTTTTAAAACACTTTAAATGTATTATTCATGATTCTTTACATTATTTGTTTTCTTCTTCAAATTTACACTTCAACCTTTTTTTTCTTCCTCTTTTTTCTTTCTTTAAATAGTTTTTCTTCTCTTTCCTTTTTTCTTTTCTTATTTCTTTTCAAAGTTCAAATTAAGTCATTTATTTTAATTTTTATTTAATAACTAATAAATATATAATATTTTATTAATTTTAAAAAAATAAAAATACAAAATAAAATTATAAAGTATAATAAACATTTTAATTTAAAGATAAATGATTTAATTTGATTATTTTAAAAAATAAAAATAAACATGAGCAATTAAAATTTAAAAAAAAAATCAAAGTTACGCTTATATTAAAGTATGAAAACTAAAAATGTAATTAAGATTAAAATATATTATTTTTGTTCCTGCAAATGATATACTAATTCACTATAATTTTTGTCTTCGCATACTGATGTGACGTTCTCGTAAAATATTTCAAATTCTCTTTGTTTGTAAGGAAAGAGTACTTGCAATGACACTCCAATGATCAAGTAAGTATTTGGTATAAAGTAATAAATGCTATTAAATATTATTCAGTCTCTCATTACATGTCCTTCTTACTTTCCTTTTATAAACATAATATTGGATTAATGGGTTTGATGAGTCGACCCTAAAGTATCTTCTGAAGGGGTGTTAGGCATCTTTCCTCATAGGATGAGGCCGAATGGGTGTTAAACACCTTTCATTTAAGGATGAGACTAGAAAGGTGTTAGGCACCCTCCGAAAGGGTGTTAGGCGTCATTCATCCAATGATAAGGCCGAATGGATGTTAGGGGTCATTCATCAAAGGATGAGGCCGAAGAGATGTTAGGAGCTAAAATGTTCCTGTAAAAGATACATTAGTTCACTGTAACTCCTGTCATTGCGTACTGTTGTGACATTTTTGTAGAATATTCCAGAATCTCTTTGTCTGTAGGGGAGAGGGTACATACAATGACACTACGATAGTCAAGGAAGTATTCGGTATAGAACAATAAATGTTATTAAATATTCTTCAATCTTCCCTTACCTGTCTTTCTTACTTTCATTTTATAGGCATAATATTAAGCTAATGGGCTTGAAGAGTCAACCCTAAACAACCTTCTGATTAGTTGGATGATTAACATTCTTTATTTGATTAATTATCTTAACTAGCCTGTTAATCTATTTTGATGTGACTGAAGGAAGTGTGAGTACCATTCGGCTCAAGGTAAGACCAAATAGGTTAAGTACTTTTCGGCCAAAGATGAGACCATAAGGGTATTCAGTTTTCTGTTTAAGTAAAAATGACCGAATCGCGTCTTATCTAATATAATTTTTAATGTTATTTAAATAAATTAGCCTTTAGTTTTTTTTAAAAAAAAAACAGTCTCAAACTTAATTATTTTAACTAAATATACATTTTTTAAATTAACTTTATATTTTAATAAACAAACTTTACCTGAACTAACCAAGGCTATAAACTCTAGTTATTTATATATATGCTTGTGAACCAACACAATCATGAGAATTACAAGGTTTTACTCACATACATTATATAGTCAAAATTAGGTTTTGAATTGAAGTTTGTTTTGATGTCTATACCCATGTACTCATCCATTGTATCTATATATTTTATTATCTATTCAACTATCCATCTTTTTACGTATATTATTTGTTTTTTTCACAACTTTTAAGATATTATATTTAAAAATGTTAGATATGTTGACGGGTGAGGTGATTTCTTATTTCAACAAAGTCAACAACTAAAAAATGTATTAGATAAATTCTCTAGTGTCCTAAAATTTGAAGGGTAGAAGCAATCATTTCATTTCTATAGAATGATCCAACTAAGAAAGGTATTAGATACCCTTTTAAAGCATTCATAAAAAATATATTATTTTTGTGGTTTATGAACAACTTGATTTTAATAAAAAAAAAGGTGAGGGACACATAAACGAAACCCACAATGCAAGTTGTGATTATCGAGTCAAGAAAGCTGGCTTCAAAAAATAATCACATAATTTTATGGATTATGAATAAATAAAGAAATGAAAGATACGAAAATACTCAAAATAGTTTACGTGACCACACACGGCAAAGTAAGGCGCGTAAAGCATTGTAAATGGGCGGTGGATGGAGCGGAGTCATCAATCGTCAGTGGACTAAGACACCCCTCGCTCTCACCTCCTCATCTGTTTCACTCTTTTATTTTCTTAATTGAATAATGTATTTTAGAATAAAATTTAATATAAGTATAATATTAGCCTAAATTTTTTTAGATTGTTAACTATTAATGTGTATTAAAAATATATTATAATTTTTTTACATTTAATATTTTTATTTGAAAATATAAATTTTAAGAGATTAATAATATTAGATTCTATCATTTTAGTAAAAATTTAATATTTTTATTATTATTGACTATATGTTAAAACATTTCAAATTTAGTCTTATCCAAATAGAAACTAAATGTTATCAATTAAAATAGCAATAATAATAATAAATATTTTTTCTTTCTTTACGTCTCTCCTTAAAATAAAATAATTTATATAATTATTTAGTTTTATTAATATCAATCTTAAAATTACTGTTAAATAATTAAAATTAATTCTACAATATAATGAATATTTTTTCATGTATTAACTATTACTAACAAATTATTTAAGAAGCCGGTTTCTTTCTTTTATTATTTCTTTTAGTCTTTTTTATAAAAAAATAAATTTTTTATTATAAAAAATAAATAATAAATTTAAGATATATTAATTATTAAATTTTTTAATATTTTTTTATTAATATTATCAAATATATAAATTAATAATTATATTATTTAATATTATAAATATTTTTAAAATAAAATTTATATTTATAAAAAATATAACAAAATTAATTATTTTTCTTAATTTGATAATCTATTTTTTTTGTTTCTTAAAAAAGGGAATATCATTTACACTTTTATTTCTACTGCAAGTTCAGCTAATTCCAAATTCCAAAGCATTATTTATTATATAACTTCCCCTAACAAGATTACAAGAATCCCACACATAACACAACACAACAAACCAAACACCATCATCCTTCACGCCAAGTAAACGATTCCTCTCCCCTCAAACCTCATTCTCTCTCTCTCTCTCTCTCTCTCTCTCTCTCTCTCTCTCTCTGGCTTCATAATACCAACACCACCTGCTTCCGGGTCGAACTTGCCCCGGATCAGGACCCGACTCATGCGACCACTGATTTAAATGTTTGCTTTTGGCTTGTCTAAACAACAAGCATAGAGAGGTAAATCCACCCTTTGACTAAAAAACCACACCAACATCAAAAGGATCGTTTTTTTCTTCGTGGGTATTGGCTTTTGAGTTGGGGAAGAAGAAAAAACATGGTGGGTATATTTTCGAGATTCTCTGTTGGAAGGAACGTCCACCGACGGACTCAAAGCGCACTGGTACGAGTATTCTCTCCTCCTGATTTTTCTGGCAATCCAAATCCAAGGGTGTGTTGTTGTTTTTTGGACTTGGATTGACCAATGAATGCGGTTATATGATTCGTGGAAGCAAGTGTTTGTAAATATTCTGACTTCGGTTTTGCATTTTCAATTTTTTTTTGTGCTATTGAATCATCTTTGGCTAAAATAATTTGCTATTTTTATTTTATTTTTTACTTTGACCCATTCGTTTTGTATTGGGATAGGGCTCCAATATTTTTTAAGCTATAAAAAAAATCTCATGAAATTGAATGATTATGAACCTTATGTTGCCCCGCGAGTTCAATATAACTGTTCATGTGATTTGCTGTTGGATTGGAAAAATAGAGGCATTATGCTATTGGGTCTAGAAAATTATTCGTTTGGTTGGTTAGTTATGCATAGAGTTTTAATTGGTGACGTGATCTCATTGTTGTTTTATGCGTTGACTTCACATATTGCAGGATGAGAGGGAAGTAATGCCCCCAAACTCAGAGGTTGCTGCAGCAGTAGCAAGTGCTACCACTGCCACTTCTCATGGAATTGAAGTAGCAGTGGAGTTTAAGCCAGTTGAACACCCCATTGAACCCCTTGACAATGATAGGCCAATTCAGTGCCCATTGCCAGAACCATCTATTCTTAATGTAAGACCAATATTTAATTTTTCTTATGGTATATAGCAAAATTGTTTTGAATTCAGAAGTGTTAATTTTAAGTAGTTTGGACAGTAATAAATTGCATATCACCATCATCATCATTGCCATTATTATTCAGTTGACACAGAGTATGAGTTGTTTTATTCAGCATGGAATCTGATTTGTGTTGGGTTACTAAGAATGTTAGGTTTAGCTTATTAAAAAAATAGCAGCTTTTGAGAGAATTTTTGAAGAAGAAAAAACAATTCTCTTGGATTAAAGTAACACAAACATGCCATAATTTTATAAATCATATTTCAAAACCATTAGAAACTTCTTTTGTAACATCTGCATATTATTATGGTAAACTTGTTTTGCTTTAAATGCATGAGTTCCGACGGTGAGAAGCCTTATAGAATTGTGCATTTTGAATATGTTGTCAGTTTAAACATATAGAGTATGATATCTTGGTAATGCTGTGATATTCAACTCAAGTAACTTCTAGAAGGATTTCATTTCAACTGTTCGTGTAAGACTATAAGCAAATATTTAGGTAGCTTAAACATAATTGCATAAATAATTGACTCCGATATTATTGGTTGCAGTGGTTGGAATTCTTTGGTTTGTTTTCTAAAAAGCTCTTTTTTAAAGCAAATATTTAGGAAGCTCAAACATAATTGCACAAATAACTGACTTTGATATTATTGGTTGCAGTGTTGGGAATTCTTTGGTTTGTTTTCTAAAAAGCTCTTTTTAATTGTTGATATGCATCCATGTGAACTATCAGTGTCACCACAGCCAACAAGCATGACTAATTTAGTGCTACTTATGCACATTAGTATGAAAGATAATAGAGGGGATGATTGGGTTTCCACTAACATCTTGGCAAGATGAAATTGCTACTCAAGTTATCTTTCCTTTGTTTTCCGTTGGAATAGGGCATGTATGGGCAAACCCAAAAAGACTTCCTTTCACCTTTTTCTTCCTCTTAATGTGCTTGAGGCTTTCCAATGGATAACCAAACACACCCGTAGTTGTTGGAGAGCAGCCATATTTTGTAAAAAAAGGGGTGGTGTAACTAGTCACTGTATTTGCATCAAAGTTAAGTTGTTCCTCTTTCTAACTTCAAAAGCTAAAGCCTTTATTATTAAAATTCATCTCGAGTAGATGCTTGCATCAGTATTTTTTGCCTTCTTGTTCTTTACTTTCAGCTTCTCATCCCAACCTTTAGTTTGGCAGAATTGCAGTCAAGCATCTAGCATACATGTAAATCATTTAACATGAATTATTTTGTTAGCAAGATACAACCAGCAGCTTATTTTTGTGCTTCATTCAGTTGATTGCACTAATAGATGGCTGTGATAACTATTGCCCCGTGTATGACCATATACGATTAATTTGAATATGGTCAATTATGACGCAACTATTATTAGTTGCTTTGGTAAGAGGAAACCCAAATTAAAGTTAGAAACAAAAAAATTAAGAAACTACACTACGGATCCACAGAGATACATGTGATCGCCTTTCTTTCCTGTTTGTTGAATCCCCCTTGGGCGGTTGAGTTTCCTTAATTTATAATAGCTATTAGGTTTTAGGATTCTGAAATCTTGTTCCTCAATCATTAGGATGGAAGAATATGGAAAGAACGAGTATCCGCTACTGTGCGAAGAAGAGGTGACCTGCCAGTGATGAAGGAAGGGGGGGCCCTTGACTCTGAAGGTGCTGGGACAAAGCCAAGAACATCTCAGTCTAATCGAATGATTCTACCTTCTCTTAGTGCTCCAGAGCATAATCTTTTAAAACTTCTTGAAGAGTGTAATGCTTCAGGCATCTAATGTGGTATTTTGCTGCATAAAATTCCATCAACTCAAGTGTGATACCCCTTCATGTCTTTTTGTCATCCTTTACTATTTCTCTATGTTGTGCCGCTTATATATGTGTATGTATATTCAAATTATAATCATGAAAGTCAAATCTGTTACATTTTTATTAGCCACTTTATATTAAGACTAGAGTAGAATTTCTACTCTTGGTCCATTGCTATTGAGCTTATTTCTTTCTGCATTCCTTTTGTGGTGTGTACTTTTGATGAAAGTTACGATTTCCAAACAAAGGAAAACAGAATGAAGAGTGAAAATTATCACTCCGTTACTGTGTCTATGCGATGTGCCTTTATTCTAGACGTTGGAAATACGCCCTGTGCCTTGTGCTTTGTCTTGCCTTGCACGGCTAATATTCCTAAGGTTGTTTTAAAGCACCCGAAATGATTGGCCAGAAGATTAAGGCTGTGTTTGCATAGCCCAAACCTTAGTATGGAAACTGCAAGCTGAGTTTCATCCATCACTATGTTTGGCAAAATAAAAATTAAGTTGTGTCAACGCAAATTTGTCTTAAATCACGGTTTGAATAAAAAAGTTAAAAAAAAAGAAGAAGAAAAGCTTTTTACATGATTTTCAACTATAATCCAAACGTGTTTTATGGTAAAATCACAGCCTGTTAACCTTTAAAGAGAAAGAAAGAAAGAAAGAAATTGTTTCCAAAATAAATTTAGCTATTAATAGTACAAGGATGGTTGATTAATTATGGGGTCTATGTAAGTACTCGCAGAGAGGAAATCAACTTCGTTCCATGAAGGCATATTTTTGGTTGTTAGGACCGATGAATCGAATTAAGAAGAAGAAAAACAAAGAACTTCCAGACACATTAGTTGCAACGACTCTTTAATCTGATTATTGAGAAGCATTGACTTCGAACTAACTTTTCTACCGAGTGGATAACAAGCAACCCATTAAATGCAGCACATCAATTCCAGATCATAGATAATCTGATGTGTTTTGTTTCTGTTACTGTTGACTGATTCTGTTTCCACCAAATCAGTGGTTTGCCCCTAAGTCAGACATGATTTTGTATAACACCATAGCAAGAAAGCAAAACCTTGATTCTCATTTATCATTATGAGCTGCGCATAACAGCCTGTACGGATATAACAAATTATCAAATACAATAGATCAGATATACGCATGGTCTTAGAAGGTGCTACTTGATGAGTATTTTCTAGCAAGATACCGACGCAAGTCACTAGGAACTATATTTTTGGAACTATTGGGACTGAAAAGAAAATGGGCAAGAAGAAAAACACTAAAAAAGAGGAACTTTACTGATTCTTATTACAGAAAAAATATGCCCAGTGAAACAGAAGAAAACTACACAGGAAATTCACGAGCCTGAAATGGATAATCTCCTGTTGGGTTCACGAGGTGTTTCCTTGGGCCACGGTGGCTTCCATGATTCATCCATGTCTTCCTTTGCCAACTCTGTTGTTGTTCCCGAGCTTGATTCGCTTGGATCACTGTGTTACTTGAGTGAACTGATATCAAGGAAATAGCCAAGACAGAGAGGAAAAGAATAAAGCATGTGAGTGAGGCCCTCACTTGCTGCACCATTTTGCCTTTTCGGGTTGTGATATTTCTTGTCTTGTGGTAGGAGTAGTGGATGAGGGGGTTAATATAGAGTGTGTTAAGGGATAACTTTGCTTTGTTATGAAGTCACAAGGTGAATCATTAGTTGCACTCAATGTATTTGATGGCTTTGTGGAGCTGTTGTAGATTGAGTTGGTTTTGATGGTGGGTTTAGTAATTGCCACTTATTGTGCCACCCAAAGTCAGCATGGACCTATATAATAAAGACACTTTATGTTATCATTGTTAAAATGTCTTGTTTGGTTGGATAATCTCAATGATATGAAGTCTATGGACAAGGTGCCCCAATCAATTTTACTATGGTGTGGCGGATGCAAGAAAAACATTTTCTCTCTAGAATGGTGAGCAAGCAAGGAATCATGGTCTGTTTGCCGTTTAGTTTATGTTGTCATCACATGCAGGCTTATGAACAATTACACCCGGATAAATTTTTATATATGTATCACAATACTTTATTTGAATTTTACTTAAAATTATAATGGGCCTAAGTTTTAGCTCTAATATAGGTGTTGAAAAGGTTTCTTTTCTCTGCTCAAATTTTGACTAAAAATCATCATAATTTGTGAGTTTTTTTTGGAGAGTATTAGGAAATAGGAGAGTGGTCTCATTCGAAACTTAACACAGCCTTAATGTCTGCAATGATACATCCATACCTGTGCAAAGGAGTGAGGTGGATTTTCATCAGAATGAGGCATCTTCAACATGTAAGTCTATGATGCTGAGGTAAAACACACACACACACCCCTACTCCTTTTTTCATACTGGTCATACACGTACACACGCTTAGCATATTAGACTAATTTATAAGTGTAAATTAAAATTCATGTTTTAATTCCAACTTATTATAATTTATAAATCTACTACAAAAAAAAGAATTCCAACAGGTTTACTAATTTTCTCGACTTTCTTTTGAGACAAGATAGTTGATATTTTACTAAAGGGTATTGCTTAATAGGCCCCATATTAAGGATCACACCTTAATAACGGATAAAGCAATTAATATTTTTAATGGGTGCCTCGTAAAAGACCAAATAAATAAGTAAAACTTGGAAAGGTTGTTATCTGCGCATATAATAAAAACCAAATTCTTTTTTTTTTTGGAAAAATAAATTGCTTTAAAGCTTTCTAAAAAAAGTGGTTATTATATTTATATATTTTTAAAATAAATAAAAAACAAATTTACATATATTTTGAATAAATAGAAATCTAAGTATTGCGATGTTGAAAGAAAAAGACAACTCGTGCCCAAAGATCGAAAAAAGAAAGAAAGAAGGGTGCATAAGTGTGTCCTCGTCTTGTTTTGACCCAAAAAACAAAATTGCGTGTAAATTACTAATTAATTAAAAATAAAAAATAATTATATCTCATAAATTTATATTGTATCATAGTATTACTTACTATTAAGTAATCGAATTCATTACCTATATTTTAATTGAATGAATAAATGTATTTACTAAATATGGATAATTAGTAATATTAGTAACTTGATTGTGAAATAACTTGATTGCTCACGATTATTCTTTTATTATTTAATGAAAATTTATTTCATACTAAATATCGTTACTCTATCATAATATTATTTATTAAAAATTGTATATAATTTGTTTGTATTTGCTGTGATACCCATAAATTTAAGAGAGTATTATATTTTTTTTTTTCTAAATTAATATTTATAATTTCTCTAATATTTTGAAGATAGGAAAGTATTAACATTTTTAATTAAATTATTAATTTTATTATCTATTAATCCAAGATTAACAGTCAATTCCACATGAAATAGAGGATATTAAACTTTTTTAATTATAAAAAGTACAGTAGAATTTTTATTTTTTTTGTTAAATGTGACAAATTAAATTAATCAATTGTAGCCCAACGGGCCTTGCGGCCTTTTGTTCTAGCCAGTCCACGTGAAGCCCAAGATGGGAAAACTAAACTCTCATACCAATATGGCAATATCCAACAACCAACAAGCGTATCTCAAACTCCCCAAAATCCTATTTCAGCTTAGCAAACCAATTTTTATTTTTCTTTTTTCTAAGTGGCATGCCTAAATATTGTTTTATGTATTTTGAGTTTTGTTACAATCTGTTAATATTTTTTTATTTTATTAAATATATTAAATTAAATATTAATTATTTTAAAAGCATAAAATTATTTAACGTTTTCTTTATATATATTAAGTTTAATTATTATTTTCAAATTTAAATTTGATATATAATATTAATTAAATAAAAAATAGTTTTACTAATTATATGGACTTTTATATATTAAATTAGAATTTTCATTCTTAAATAAATAAAATTTATTTGTTTGTTTTTATTACGTTTCGAATTTAATATAAATTATTTATTTTTAATTAATTTTATTATTTATTAATAAGTTGAATTTTAAAACTGTTAAAAATTTAATTATTTTTTATTTAAATTTTAACACATCAAATTAATATAATTAAAAATATTATTTATTTTTATTTAATATAATAAAATATATATTATTGAATAAGTTAAGATGGAATTTTATTTAATATTTATTTATTTAAATTATTTTTAATTCAATAATTCTCACGGAAAACTTACCAGTAAACGATAGTGCGTTTCTTTGAGCGGAAGCAAAACAGAAAAATAAAGGAAAAAAAAAGGGGCGAAAAGTAAAGGTTTTCTGAAAAATGAAAAGAGGGCTATAAATCGAAAACAAACACAACGAAAGTTTCGAGTCTCTCTGTTGGGCGTGTGTTGGATTTTTCGCGTGAATCGCCATGGCTGCTCTGCAATACTTGGAATCGCTTCGCAACGCGCACCCTGAGCTATCTGATTGGTACAATTCGCTCGCCGATCTATACCAGAAGAAGCTCTGGCACCAGCTCACTCTCAAGCTCGAGCAGTTCGTAGCTCTTGCTGTTTTTCAGGTTTAACCCTTATGCTCTTCTTTCTATTTTCACTCTCAATTGTTATATAACTTTACTCTCTCTGTGCTCGTTTCGTTTCTTTGCTCCTTAGGATTAGGGTTTTTTTTTTTTTTTTGGGGGGGGGGGGTGTTGTTGCTGTGAACTTAATTTGGGGGTTGTGGCCCTGTGGCATCCGGTGAACAATTGTGCTGCTAGGTTTTGCTTTATTGTTTTTGTTTTAGTTGTTGTGATTGAAGCTGTGACTAAAGACGGAAAATTTTCACTAGGATTTTGCTCGGGATCCGAAGGTGTTAAGTCGGGTATTGGTGTGTGGCGTGGATGGAAATTCGAGATCTTTGAGTTGTGGAATTTAGAAAGTTAGGGTTGTGTTAGAACTGAAATTTTTGGGCATGATGATTCGAACTTGTTTATAATACTATTTTTGTTGACTTTTGGTGAGGCCATATTGATCCTCCGAGTAAATGTTCTTATTGTGGTTTATAGTATACCATGTTGATAATTGATTCTTACCATAAATTTTCAGGCTGGTGATGCTTTGATACAGTTATATCACAATTTCATCACTGACTTCGAGACCAAAATCAACCTTCTCAAGCTTGCACATTTTGCCGTGATAGTTTCTCGGCAGTATTCTGAGAAAGAAGCTGCTGTTGGTTATCTTGAAGGGGTCATTGAGAAACTGCAAGCTACAAGAGAGCAGCGCATAGAAGAACCTATTCTTTACATCAAGATGCAAATAGCCATATTCAAGCTTGAGCAAGGTGACCAAAAGGAATGCAAGAAACTTCTAGAAGATGGAAAGAGTACACTTGACAGCATGACAGACATTGATCCATCTGTATATGCTAGCTATTACTGGGTTTCATCTCAGTATCACAAAACACGCCAGGAATTTGCTGAGTTCTACAAAAGTGCTCTTCTCTATTTGGCATACACATCGGTGGAGTCTCTCTCAGATTCATTCAAGCTGGTATGTCATCAGAATTGTCTCAAATGTTTTGTTGATTTGTTGCCTTTTTCTTGTCTCAAATTATTGCTATTTGATCACACTTTACACTTGTTACATTTTCTTTTGACTCATTCTGTACTTTTTGAGTAAGGTTGCAAAGGTAGATTTGAATGTATCTAAAAGTTGTTCCATATTACTCGACTGTTGTACCTAATACAATGCTTTCCTAATTAGATATTTGACTTCGTGGAACAAAATGTATGTGGTATATTTACATGCTTGACTTTTGTGGGATGTCATGTAACAAAGGTTTTGAAGGTTTGACCTTTCCCATAAGTATTATTAAGATGATACCACTTCAAATAAAAAGAAATCTGTAGGAGAGGGGAGGGGAAAAAAGATGATGGTGGTGATAAGGAGCTTGCTAGATAATAAGTGATATCTTATGAAAGCATATGTCTATTACTGTTAGTTAATTTGCACTGAGGGATAGTAATGGGCATGGATTTCTATACATCCAACTGCTAGGCCTTAGGAATCATACTTTTTCTCCCAATTTGCTTTTATAGAGTTTACTTTTATAAATGACCTGGAAAAATGAGTCCCATGGCAGCTCAATTGTACTAGTTCTTTACACAAGGAAATTAAGGGGATGGTGTAGCTAAATTATACTGTAGTTTTGAATTGGAAAAGTGTCTTAGCGGTGACTGAGGCTAAGTAATTCTTCTAACTGTGCTTCTTCATCATCTAATAAAAAGGTTAATCTATTTGCTTTATCTTTTCCTGCTTCATTTTTACACTACAAAGGTTTTTATGATGTACTTTAGTAAAATTGATGTATTATGGAGTAATTTAAAGATAGGTTGATGCTTTTATTTTTGGTGAAATGGAAATTGAATCTGGAATTTTTTATTTGATGAATTCATAGTTGGCACTTCCTTCCCCTCGAAGGAGGGAGATTGAAGCAGTGTATATTGGTCTATCTCATATATATTTTTTCTATTTATCTGCTAATGCTATATTAGTTATTTACACTACTTTTTGTGATTTGTTAGGATTTGGCATTTGATTTGTCCCTTTCTGCTCTGTTGGGGGATAACATCTACAATTTTGGAGAGCTACTTGCCCATCCTATTGTGAGTGATTACATTTAAGTTTTTGGATCACCTTTTCTTTTGAAATTTCTTTCCTTCCTTCATTTGTTTATTTTACTATGTTGGTTGAAATAGTCTATAATATTTTCAACAGATTAAGAGCCTTCTGGGAACAAAGGTGGAATGGCTTTACTATATTCTGCAGGCATTCAATTCTGGTGATTTAGCTCGATATCAGGAATTATGCAGGGTGCATAATGCTGCTTTAAGAGCCCAACCAGCACTAGTTCAAAATGAACAGAGGCTGTTGGAAAAGATCAACATCCTCTGCCTGATGGAAATTATATTCAGGTGTATATACATTAATTAATTAAATTGTCGTCTGTTGAAATGAATTTAATAACAAAAATTTTATTCCAAACTCAAACTGATTGTGGTTACTTGCAGTCGGCCTTCTGAAGATCGAACTATTCCTTTGGGTGTAATTGCTGAGCGTACAAAACTTTCTATAGAGAATGTGGAGCATCTCCTTATGAAGAGTCTATCTGTAAGTTTTAAAGTTCTAGAAAGGAGTATAAATAATTTGTTTTGATTTTCTTTGGAACCATCTAAAGTAGCACACTTTCAACCTGTGGATTTGGGTAAATAAAAATATCTTTTCATTATTTTATTAGTTGTTCCTTATTTACTAATCGTTTGTCAATTAGTTATATTATTTCACTAATCATAATGTTTTAAGCTTGCATTCTGTTCAGGAATGTGATATAAACCATGTAATATATGGCTTTGTTTGAGAGTTAATTCTAGGAGGGAAAGAGAGGGAAAGAAAAAGTTTTTGATGGTAACCTTTGTTTGAGTGTTTTTTAATGTAAGGGGAGTGTCCCTCCAAAATCCTCATAAATTAATGTTTTTAAGTTTTCCCAAATTGGGAGGTTTTTTTATTAGCCCTCCTTCTCTTTTCCTTTCCTCCCTTACTCCTCTAACTCTTCCCTCTCCCTCCAAACTCCCAAACAAAGCTTAACTGATATTTCTTGAAGTTCTTGAGCGTCTGAGAATTTGACATGTCATCACTTGAAAAATTATGGTGTTGTCTTGATTAATGATTAGTGCTTTGAACAATTTAGTTGATTCTGTTTTTGGGTTGGTTGTAAAACATGACACTTGAGAAGTGTGTTTTTTTTTTTCTTAACTGAGAATGATATCTTGCATCCTGTGGCAGATTTGTCAGAGTAACTGGTATGATCTGGCGGTTTAAATGTTTCAGAATAGTTTTTATACTTGATTTTATTTAAAGCACATCTAAAAGACTTGTGTTTTTTTTCTGCTCTACCATTGGTAGTTGGTTAACATGTAAATAATCTGTTTGGACTTTAATGACTAGCAAACAGTTGTGTGGTTTTTATTGGCAATTAACTTTCTGTTTTGTCCAACACCTGGGAATCAACTGTACCCATTCACTAAGAAGTGGGAGAAAAAGGGATAAGTGGGTTAGTTGATTTGGATACTTTAGTGGAATTAAACTGAAGTGTGCTTCTAGGCTAAACTTTTATTGAGCATTTGCATTGTTTACCAAGATCTATAAATTTGAGGAATTTTGAATGGAACCTGCTATGCATCTAATGTTGGAAGTTTAAGCTGCATAATTACCAAATTAAATTGCAAGGGAAGTTGAAATATTGCTTTTGCATTTTGGAATTGATATTATATTCACTTTTTGTTTCCTTTTGATCTTGTCCTTTCAGTAACTCCTGTTTTAAATATGGAGCTTTTCATTCCAATAAATAGTTTCTACTGATATTTCTATACCTTTTTAGTGACTGACTAGAGGGTTTTAGTTGGAAATTATAAATGGCTTTGTGGTCTGGATAAAGTTAGTATGCTGCTTTACTGAGGATGTTCATTGTAAGTATAACTAGGATTCTACGAACATACAAGCCAATTTCATTCTCTTAATGTATGTGCAACATTACATACTTGTTTCAAAGAGTTGTTAGTATATTTTGTTATTGACTTTCTGCATTTGAGAAACTGATTTTATGATCATATGGAGGTTGGGCAACTATTTTTAAAATTCGAAGTTTGTAACTGAAAAAAATCTATTGCAGGTTCATCTAATTGAGGGTATAATCGATCAAGTTGAGGGTACAGTGCATGTTTCCTGGGTGCAGCCAAGAGTTCTGGGTATTCAACAGATCAAATCCTTGCGGGATAGACTGGACAGTTGGACAGGAAAAGTACACACTGCATTGTTGTCCATCGAGGCAGAAACACCTGATCTAATTGGATCATGATTTTGCTTTGTTTGTTTTCTGCCCATTGTAACCACTTCTTAAGTTAAAGGAGAACACGTCCTAAGGCGACAAAAGATGAAGAGACTTCCAAGTCGTGGGCAATATAGCCAACTTTATATGCTTCATTTGGTTTTGCATGCTGCTTTTGGCTTAGAAATTGTTGGTTCTATGGTTGCATGCCTAGAGACATGGTGAATCGGTTGGGAACAGGCTTTTTATGCATTAGAGTGATGACAAACTATGTATCTGGAATTTTTCTTAGATACGGCCATTTGAAATTCACTTTTAGAAGTTCTTTTCATCCAACTGTTCCCCTTCGTTTGCCTAAATATTTCACGTGCTTCAAAATGGGTGCTCCTGAACTTGCCATGATATGAATTTCTTTTAATTATATCTGCCTGTTTGTCTCATGACAGTGGTAAAATGACGTACCAATGGGGAAAATACGGCTTATACCTTCTAGTTAAATTCATGGTGGCTCATTCTCAAGTTTTAAAGATTAACACTGTTTCAAAACTAAAATTATGCTTTCAAGTAAATTTGTTATGTATGATTTTTACTTGTCATCTACGTATCTTTCTTGCGCTTGAAAACATAGCAATGTTCCTTCAAAACCCCGGCTTCATATGGATAAGTTTCTTAGTGATTGTTACAAATAAAGCTAACTTGAATATAATAAAGATGAGGATGCAATGGATATATACAACGTTGGCGACGATTTTAAATTGAAGAATAGCCTAATGCTGATCTCGTTTTCATGTCGATTCTCAATTGATGCATAGTTAAGGAGATTAGATATAGCGTTGTAAGACAGTTGAGTGGGTGAGCAGAATGAATATAATGTTACATGAAATGCCTCAGATTTTGTATATTATATTATGCTTTATATGATGATGGTAAGTTTAATGTCACATGGGCATCTCAGTATTTAGCTAGCCACGTCTATGAAAGAGTAATAATGCTGACACAGCAGAAGTGCACCATATGAAAAGGACAGACTCACTGGGGAATGGCACGTTACACACATGACAACCCTGTCATATATTTGACTGAATCCTGTAACGGGATGGGTTATTTTGCCATGTTTAATAGCACTAGGGTTTGTTGGAGCATTGGGTAAAGCTATGATGTTATCTATAATCTATATTTTATTTTAAGACGAAAGGAAAAACTGAAAAGAATAATGAATAGGAATTCAATTTAATTCTTAGTATTAAGAAGCATTTCATTTCTTTTTTAAATCCAGTGGTATTTAGTGCTTATATATTTTTACAGTGCAAATTACAGTTTTTTCCCCTTGTCTTTAAAATTTTAGTGTAAGAAGATGATTGTCCCAGTTTAAAAGATTATTTCAACTGAGGATTAAGATTTCATTCCCAATCCCAACCGATGGCCAAAGTCGCACACTAAGTTTCTTTTAGGCGTTAAAATTATTAGAGTGAGTTTTATCTTTTAAAATAAAGTATTTACCACAACCAGAAATTGATCCCAATAAACATTTCTAAGAAATTTAACTATCTTATTAAGTTTTAATAATTAGGCCCAATTTAGATAATATTCTTGATAAGTACAGTAAAAAAAATTAGGATATAAGATAAATCAAATCCCTTTCATAAATTAAAATCAACTTATGTTTCTTTATTGTTTTAGAAGTTTTTTTAATTCAATTTCTTTAAAATTTGAAAAAATAATTTTTTTAACTTATAAAAATTATTTATTTTCAATATTATTTTTCTTCTTTATATAAACTTATTTACAATATAAGTTGAGGGTGAGATAAATCCAGATTTACAGGAGATTCACAAACAATAACAGCGTTGTAATTTAGATAAATCCCGTAAACAGGCCTTGTGGAAAAGAAAATTAAGATTTGAGAAACTTGCAAAAAAGATAATGTAATTTGGCTCTAGGGAAAACGTTAGGAGACCTCGAAGAACCTTGTAATTTTGTACAATGGTGATCTTGCCATCTGACGTAATTTTGAGGGCAAATAATCTGCTGGGGAAATCCCCACCTTCACACAAACAACAATAATTGCTTGCAGTTTTACGTACACTTCACTTTTTCTAATTTCTTCCGCTGTGGAGCAAAGTATGGACCATGATATCACCGCGGCTCTATGTACTTTTCAAGAGAGAGAAAAAAAGGGGGAAAAATAAAAATCCATATCATCGTTTAAACTGGCCCCTCGATTAATTTGATTTATGCATGCAAGTCGAGCATCTGATTAGACTTTTCAAAGGCTTATTTATTTTTTTAATTTTTTTAAAAAATAAATTCTTAAAATAATGTTTTTTAAAAACAAATTCCCTATCTGGGGTCTTTTTTGCCATGTCAAGACCTGTTTCGCATACTATATGGACGAAATATATTTTTATTTTATTTTTTAAATGCTATTTCGTCTTTAGTAGAGACGAAACTATCAGAGTGCGCCACGTGTCAATATCTGGTGAGTTTCACCTATTGCAGAGACGAAACTCAATGAATGGTGCCATGTGTCATGATCTGGATCAATTTACGAAAGTAGTTAAAAAAAAGAAAAGTTTTATATTTTAATATTTAATTAATATTTATTAAAAATAGAAAATTATAAAATTTAAGAATAAAAAAGTTATATAATTTTTAATTAACTTAATTAATAACTACAAATATATTAAAAATATATATTAAAATTACACTATGTATAATGTATGACACAAAAAAGAATATCTGCTAATAAAATTATAAATTTATAATGGCAGCATTGGAATTTAATGGAAATGTATTGAAAAAAAATATAATATTTAATTAAAATATATTAAAATAAAAAATCATAATATTTAATTTAAGAATAAATTATTGAAATTTAGATAATTTTTAATTAAATTAATTAATAATTATAAATATATTAAAAAATATAGTGTTAAGAATTTGTTAATCTTAGTTTAAATATCTATAAAAATTATAAAAAATACATATTTATTATATAAATTATTAAGATTTTTAAATTTCACACCTAATTTATAAATTAGTTTAAATAAAACAAATTATAAATTTATTTTAAAAAAGCCGTAATAAATACAATGTTGGTCGAGGCTTCATGAGTTAAAACTTGGAAGTACATGGCACCATTCATTGAGTTTCGTCTCTGCAGTAGGCGAAACTCACCAGATATTGACACGTGGCGCACTCTGATAGTTTCGTCTCTGCTAAAGACGAAATAGCATTTAAAAAATAAAAAAAAATATATTTCGTCCATATAGTATGCGAAACAGGTCATGACGTGGCAAAAAAGACCCCAGACAAGAAATTTATTTTTAAAAAATATTATTTTAAGAATTTATTTTTTAAAAAATATTAAAAAAATAAATAAGCCATTTTCAAATCTCGTGCACCGGTAAATTTACTTACTACTATAACGATATGCATAACGATTCAATGATCTTACATTGATAGAACCATTTTGTTGCCTCATCAAATCAAACAAATACTATACCTCACATAAGGGAAAATAAAAAGTTAATACCCTTTATTTTTTTCACTTGTTTTCTTTTTCTGATTTTCTTTCTATATGCTATTGCATAATTATATTACCATTTTTTTTATACAAATTCAGTTTCACAGACAATTCAATAATCCTACGCTGAACCATGCAATTTTACTTTTTATTATCCTGGTTTTCCAGTCCTCAGATGATTCCCTACTATTTCTAGATTAAATGTTTCATAAAGTCTTACAGCACGAAAACCAATGTGAACAGAGCCTCCACATGCAAATGCAAAGCAAACATGCAGAGACAAAGGTTCAGCTTGAAAGAACTCTACCAAAATCATCAATAACTTTCAACATTTCAGAATACATAAATATTACAGAACACAAGCTGGCCAGCATGTTACATTTTCCACCCTTATCAATAGCCAAACAATATATTATTGATGGACATTTACTCTTGTCTGACATAGGGAGAGGAACTTATGTCTGTGCTGTAAAATGAATCCTCAGGTGGACCATAGAAATTCTCATCCTTCTCTTCATCCCACTTTAGGACCTCTTTTATGTATTTGAATGCCTCATCGACAGTTACTCGGTCCCTTGCCCTGGCTTGTGCCACAAAAAGTTTTCTCCCAGTGAGGGATGCATAAAGGTCCTTGAATTTCATGGCAACACAGAAGTAAGCCTGATGGGCTAATGACTGGTTGTTATGATGTGCACGCACAGGACAAAAATCACTGAACCATTCACAAGCATTTAGGGACACCCTGCTAATCTTTTCCTCGAAGATATCATATTTGTTTAGAATTAGTACCAAAGGGGTATCTTTGAAGCAAGGGTGCCTCACCATGGTCTCAAAAAGCTCCTTGCTTTGTATCATCTTGTTTTGAATAAGTGTTCCACTGCCACTACTGTCTGGTGCAAGCCATAACTGATCATAGTCACTTAGGGAAACGCAAAAGACCACTGCTCGAACATCTTCAAACATTTCAACCCACTTGCAACCCTCACTTAAGCCCTTGGCATTCACCCTTATGAGTTGGTACCTGAGAGATCAAAGAAAAGTTTAGTCTGTGTTTTATCATTTCATTGGTTGTGCGGGGAAGGAAGGGAAAGTGAGGACAACGTAAAGTTTTTTATGTCGTTCTGGACATTCCTCAACAGGAATTCAGAGAGAAATGAATATATCTTACTTGGTCAGAGGTGGTAGTTGACCATCCAGGTTATCTGTGTAAGTGTCAGACTTTGGAATACGGTCATCAAGTGAGAATTCCATGAAAGCCAAACCATTTCCCTGAGTAACCCCTTCTGCATATAGTATGTCCCTTTCGGAGGGTTCGTATTCATTGCAAGATATCTCAACAGCCTGAAAGAAAAGATAGTACATTATACAGCTATACATGTCAATACCATCAATTCTCCCAAAGTTGAAAAGGCAAACCATGCTAGCAAAATCATAACCATTTGATTTATCATACACAGCCAGTAGACTTATAATAGCATCTGTAAATATTAATAATCAGAAAGAATAATGATCCAAAAGATTTCACATATAAAAGGAGCATAATTTTAGAAGACTCTGTTGGTGGCTTGGTGAGGAAAAAGGATCAAGTTGATTGGTAAGAGTTGAATATAAGTCTAGAATACATCCCTCATTTTCCCTTCATTTTAAACTTTCCCATTTTTTCTCTTACCAACGACCCCCAAGAAGACAAGAACACATGACATAAAACCTCAACATGTTCTATATTCTATTTTCCTTTCCAATAAAGCCTAATAAAAAGAGTTGCACAAGATATATACCAGTGACAGAACTAACTGGCAAACCTGTAATATATTTGGCTAGTAGGATAAAGCATCCTAAGAATATTAACACCACAGCTTAGAAGTC